GGGAGGGGGGGATATTGTAAAGACAATGTTACACAGACAAGATTTTGGTTGTAAGGGAAAAAAACAAGGAATGGCTCCGTGTCCGAATTTTTGAGGGTCTGGGAGTCATTTAAGTCAGAAACTACTAATATGTAAGTCAGAAAACTACTAAGGAAAAAAAATTTATGTTGAATTCAAATTAAAAGCAGTTATGCCTGATCATGTCTAACACCACATGTCAAACCAACTATTAGAGTGCATAAACTGCCAGCCACAAGCATTATACGTTATCAGAATTCTCTATCATACTTACCTTTTATAAGGGTCAGTACTTGTCCGCACTGAGCGTCTGTACTGGAGACGTAACTTTGTTTCACTGTTAGGACTTAACCTTAAGTATTGGATAAATAAGATGAATGTAAATAAGTTTCAACATAATATCAGATCATCTTCTACCAATCATCAACAAATTTTAAAATTATCATATATCTTAGATGTAATTTGTATATTGGCAGCTTCTTATTGCTGAGTACAATGAAAGTACAGTGAAATTTATTTTAAATTTATCTCATTTTTTCAAGTAAAAAGTGGATCTTGGATAAACAAACCTTCTATCTTCATTTTTCATATATTCTTGGAGAAACACAATAAATTCTCCTATATTTTGTCTGAAAAAGACCCCAAAAAAGCAAACATTTCAGCATCAGCTTGTTTAATTTGCATGAAATTCAGGTATCAGGATTAACAATCAAACAAGCCATTTGTGTAACTGATCAAAAAAGAAAATAATTAATAGTCAGTTACTGTTCTAAATACTGGTAGACTAACAAACAAAGTGAAGGCCAACAAAGGTCAACACTTAGCAAAGAAGGTCAACTCACTGAGCCTGCTGTGCCACATGGAGAGCTGCATTGAGGTCACCACAGCGAATACAGTAATACATCATTGCCCACACTGGGTGTCCATCTACTACACCATCCTGGAATTATAACACACAATATATAACAATTATAACACACAATATAACAATTATAACACAATATAACAATTGTAACAAACAACATAACACACAATATAACAATTATAACACAATATAACAATTATAACACAATATAACAATTATCAGTAATGTCACCACAGCAGAAATAGTAACACACACAATATGGATATTGACAATGTAATAAAACACAGAATATGACAATTAGCAAATGATACACTACACCCATCTTAAAATAATAAGGGCACCAACTAGGACTGAAGATGCAAAATGTAACAAATGACAAATGCATCAAATCTTCAATTTTGGGGTCATTTTAAACTAGAGCTAAAAGTAAGAAATGTCTATTTTGGGGTCATTTTAAACTTGAACAAAAAGAAAGAGAAGTCATTTCTCTGTCTATACAAAACACTGCTTTAGAAGAAGAAGGCAATTTTAGCTTCTGTGTAACAAAAACATCAAAAAAGGTGAAAAAAGGGGGTCTCACAATCCAGAGTTTCACCCAGCAAAACATCAAAGCATACCTCTAGTCCTGGAGTGGAGTGCGGGAGACGGACATTAAGAAAACTCCTGACCAGGTGGTACGTCCCCGGCACCCCTCCTAGCTGTGCCTGCTGCAAGTTCCCATACACTGTGGCTGTGATGTACTTGTGGTAGCTGGAAGATGGAGAGACAGGGAGGGGATCAGTTTTGTGGGCAGTTAATGATACACAACAATAACACAACAATAACACATATTTATGTACATGTACTTTAAGGTGGGGATGTACCCAAATATAGCTAAAAATCGTCATTTTTGGTTTTTTATGTCTAATTATTGGTTCAATGTGTATCTAACGTTTAACAGAATAAAATTTTTACATTTTGAACAAAAAATTTGTTTTTTCTGAGGATTCTGATGCTGCACACATCGGCACCGNCCCACCTTAAACACCTATCTTACTTTTAACAACGTTTTGAGGTGCAAAAATTCATCAATTCTATGCAAACCAAGCATACGTTCCATAAAATACTGTTTCATTTACTCAATTTTAACCTGGTTAAAATCTTAAAGTCCTTTAGCCACTTGTATGTATATTTGCTTCTGCAGCAATGCACACAGATAAAATAGTGGATTTAAAAACTAATTATTTGGGTCTGGTGGCATGTTTAAGATGTGAAACAGTCTTTACTCAGCACCTGTCTTAAAGGAAAGGTAACACCATACCTCTGTTCTAAGTACTTCTTAGCTTGGTTTACAAATGCCGTCTGCATCCTCTGGGTGCTACGGGACGAGATTATGCTACTACTGGTTGCCATGGGAACATCAGTCATCAATTTCACCATCCTCCAGATTTCTGTGATATTCTAAATTAAAAGAGTTACAGACATTGCACTGAAAGAGTTACATAAATTTCATTGAAAGAGTTACAGACATATCAATGAAAGAGTTACATTCCACTAAGCTGAAAATACCACGTTCTACTTATGACTAACGATTGAATGCTCTCAGACAAAAAATTCTTTTTTTCTGAAATAAAAATGAAACTGTAGACACTGTATTCCAAATTATGAAAAGAAATCTTAACACAGAAGGAAGAGTAATCTTTATTTTCAATATTTTGTAAGAAATTAAACAAAACAATTATTGCTACATTCTGAAAGACATCAATAGTTAAATAAGAAGACTTCCCATCAGAAAAATCATGTCCTGACATACTACAGTATTACACATTCACGTAATTTACCAAAAGGTGAAATTACTCACATCGTCATCTAGTTTGTTTCCCACCTCAGCAAACATGTCAACCAGGCTGGGTCTGATACCGCCCTGAACTATCTGCTCATTGTACTGGTAGACCTGCAAGGAAATTGTATTATTTTGATTGAAAATAAATAAATAAATAAATAAATAAATAAATAAATAAATACAGTAAGTAAGAAAGAAAGAAAGACAGAAAAAAGAAAGAAATCTCATATTTTTAAAGTTTAGGCTATATTACCAAAATCTACCACATTCATCTTATTTTATGACTGATAATTATCAAAGACAACAACTATTATATTTTGTATAATATGTAAAAAAATGAGCATCTTACTTGTCTGGCATATGCCATCTCCACATTATCCATGGCACTTCTGCCCTGCATGTTGATACTGTCCCCAAGTATAGACTACAATAAAAGATATGTAATTTATACCTTAACATTCTGCATAGCTATATTATCCATAATTACTATGACATGACAACAATATTTTCAAAATATGAAAACAAAATGCTAACCATATTCATTATGATCAAGTAAACAAGTACAAGTTTAGTGCATGGATTTTCATTAATCAATGTCAAAATTGCAATTCTTGTTAGAACAAATCTTAATATCAGGAATCTTAGGATGTTTTGAAGATGATGACAAAGTGTGTGTTAAGATTGTGTATATCTTAAAACTGAATGGGTAGGTAAGCGGATTGACAGTTTGCTTGTGGTGCTTGCGACCACTATTTTTTACATTCATACCATGAAACTGCGGTTTGAGTTGGTAATAGAGTGGTCCCGTTTGCAAGACTAGGGCTCAAAATTACAAATGACTCTGTCGTTATACTCCTGGTTTGTTGCTCCTACCTCCTGTTCCTGAGGAAAGTCCAGTGTATCGTGTCCTGTTCCTATCAGAGCATTGAGGATCTTCTGTTTCTCTCTCTCCCACTCATTAACAAGACTATCCCAGTGTCTCTTCTCTGCCTCCTCTAATGTCTGTAGGATAAAAGACAAAGTTAATATTATATGAGGATCTTCTGTTTCTCTCTCCCACTCATTAACAAGACTATCCCAGTGTCTCTTCTCTGCCTCCTCTAATGTCTGTAGGATAAAAGACAATAGTTAATATTTTATGTGGAGTAAATTCATGTGGTGTCTGTTTACATTTATTATAGAAGAAGGTGAAGCAAAACCAAGCTATGCCAACGTCTCTTCTCTGCCACCTCCAATGTCTGCATGATAAAACGTCAATAAAACCCCTCTTACATGGCAAGTTAGTATCATATGTGAGAGTAGTTAATAAATGATTTCTTCATGGAGCCCATCTTTCAGCATAACAAAAATTATTACATTCTTTTTTTAAAATATAGTCGTGCTATAAGAAAACCTGCATTTTGCTGAGGTGAATGCTTTTAGAACCCAAACTAGTCAGATGTCAACTTACATTTTTTCTTGTCTGTTCTATGACTGTTAACAGGGCATTTTCACGTTCATTCCTCAGAAAACCATGGATGTCAGTGTCTCGCACTGGTTCTAGAGGCTCAAAAGTCCTTGCCGCACTTAAACCTTCCAGTTTCTGTGAAATTCTTGGAATGTCAAAACCTTTTGATCCCAGTAATATTGATCTGAAAGACAAGAAGCTCCTTTTTTACAACACACTGATATCACAGCAAATACGACAGGTAGGTACTGAAATCCATCAATTGCTACTGCATTGATACCTAACATATGAAAACACATTTATTTACATAATGTTGAGCCTAGATACCTTGATATTGAAAAAAAAAGAGGGAATAATAAGATCAGGTTGGCAAAAAAGCATTTATTATAAAATGATGTGATCATTTGGTATCATAAAAAAAATAATATTAAGAAAAATTATTAAACATCAGAGGCCCAGTGATATTCTGTTTGTTAGGTTAGAAAGTATCCTACGCCTTGACGTCTGAGGCATCCTGGCTGGTCTGAGCCGTCCTGGTCAGCAAGCGATGACCAGCGTCCATTATCTGACGGATACTTCTCTCCACTTTGGGCAGCTCTGCCCCACAATCCATCTCCGCTGTCAGCTGCTCGGCCTGCTGCAGCAAGTCGCCAAATCCTGCACTCCCGTCCATGGTGATGGCGACTGAAACTGAATAAGTTAACATATCATTACCTTCATGATTTCCACTGTTAGAAAACAAATTACAACAAATAACGTTACATTTCTCATTCACAGTCACAGTATAATTTCATTCTCAACACAACTACATGTATGAAACAAAGTTCTATAATGTCATTATTTGCAGGATTCGAAAAGGAATTCAAACCTAATAGCATGATATGATTTTTTCGGGAAAGGCTTTAATAAAATTTAAGAGAAAATACTTAGGTACTAATATGAAAAGTAATCAAAAAGTAGTTCTGAAACTAAAACTGATAGTGCTTCAGTACAGGCATAACAATATCAACATATACAGAGAAATCGAGAAGCACACAACTCATTTTTGAATAATAAAATAAACAGATTTTTCCCATATTAAGTAAGTATTAATATACAAGAATCTGATTTACCTGAAGTATATACGAAATGTTATTTACAACATATACTTTAGGTTTTGGTTTCTCAGTGATGAAAAAAGCGCCAAACCGGAAGCATGTTTTCGGCTACACACTGCGCCTGCTCAGAACTTCTCGATGAAAAGGAGAACCGAAAAGTGTGTTGTGTTTAAACACGAGAGAGAAGACAGCGTTTCTCTGCTGCTAAAAACGAGATGTAAGCGTCTCTTTCCTGTCTGATGTAGCTATGTTGATGGTGCTCCGCCATGCCATCTGGTCAAGAATCGGTCTTGTCAAGAGGGGAGCAGATGCTTTCTGCAGGTAATCAGAAAAACCATCCAAACTTCAACCAAAAACATCGACTTGTCTTGGCTGAAAATTCTTACCCAGAACCTCACGTGCCTATTTTACTATTTTTAGATATAACAATAATTAGTATTACTATAACTCTTTCTGCTTCTTCATTGTCATTCAATGGCGTTAATTTCAATTTCAATTGCTCCTTTTAAAATCAATTTTTTAATGAACATCGTAAACATAAAAGTTGATGAACGTATGTGCAAGTTATATGTTACATAATTACAGCCCCTCCCCCCAGAAAAAAAGAAAGAAAAAAAAAGAACATTCTAAAGAAAGGTTGAAGTCTCATATGTGTATGTATACTTCTGCTTAATGTTCAGAAATGCAAACAAATAAATAAAATAAAATAAAATAAATTATTTCAAAATATATGGGAAACCGAAGATTCATTTGAAGTTAAGAACATAAACTTGAGAGATTGATGTATGAAAAGGTATAGTTTTCATTCCAGCATCTAGCTGTTTGTGAACATATATTAGTTGATTATAACAATTCAAAGATTCTCATGCTGTTCACTTGCTTTTAAACATCCCATTATGGATACTTCTAGATACATTTATATCATTTGAGAATGTTTTGAAATAAAACATTTGCTTCTTTTCATTCATGTTATGTCATCTATTTGGCATGGCACATGATAACATTCAGATGGTGCTTGTTTCTTTCATGTTAGGAGCTTTCCGACTCCATCATTTGGAGTTAATATTACTGTTGCTGCAGGAATCAGATGTGGTCATCGCAGTTTCTTGACAGCTGGTGAAGCAGCCATAGCACTGAGGCCATTTTATTTTGTGGTGCACCCGGACCTGTTTGGGCAACATCCAAGAGAAAGGGTGAGAACTTGAGTTAAAGTGAACAAGCTCAGTTATGATCTGGTATTTGTGTGTGGAAAAAGGAAGAGTTGTTTAGCTGAATGTTTCTGTACAATTAGCTAGTCCTGTATACTAAATGGGGCCTTTGTCTTGAAAAATACCCTTATTGTTGTAACTACTGTTTTCCAGTTAAATGACAAATTTTAATTTTCTTTCCCACTGTTTTCTCCAGGCAGTGAATGAAGAGTCTCTGAAGCAGCTCAGGGAATTGTTGGACAACATTCAGATTGGACAGACGTTCCAGCCTAGGAGAATTACTTTCTATGTCAGAGAAGGGAAGAAAGGAAGCAATTCTGCCAATGCAGGTGCTGTTGTTTTTTCTTGTAAAAAATTTTTTTAATTCATATATTTTTTTTAATTGTTTTAAATTGTTTTATCCTTTTAACAAATTTATATTTACAAATAGCCATGTAATTGTGCTGGCTGTGTAAGATGTGGTTTATACATGTTTTAGGGCATTTACTCTCACTTCATATGTATCATTAACTTTAAACTGGTTTGAATAATATTATTTAACAAACCTAATATTCATAACATGCCAAAAGGTAGTTTATTATGGTCTGTATGAGGACAATCACAACAGATCCATGGCAGTCTCAACATGAAAGCAGAGCCGACTAATCTGCTGATAGTCTCCCCGCCTCCACACGCACTATCCCTGCAGGGGTCTAGCAATTAAACCTAGGAGCCGTGATTTAATCCGTTTAATGGCATGTGCAGTGGCGGGGAGACAATCAGGGGATAAGTCATCTCTACTTTCATGAAGGGATTGCCATATTTGGTCAGCAGATCAGTAGATCTGAGGATCATCTGCAGTGAATGCATTCTATTTGTTGATTATTTGTCTTTTGTCTCTCAGGTTTCAGGATGGTGACCACGCCATTACTGAGCAATGATATGTATAAGACGGTAGAGAGCGTACTGCAAACATGTCAGCTGCCATTAGACTTCTTACACCAGATCAAGGACAGAAGGTCAAAGGTCAGACAAGACAAGCCGGCTCAGAGTCAGTACACATCCAGAGATTATAGCAATGAGTTCTTACGGATGTATGGGCCAGATAACCCCAACAGTGCGTACTTCAGAAAAATGAAGATGAACCTTTCTCTCAGGTGTGCCATGGGTGGATATCAATTAAAGCAAATTTCAAAAATGAAAAAAAAAAAGAAAATCCTAGAAATATATGTAAAGAATCATGATTATAAAGTAATGCACATAAAAAAAATGCAGTTTCAATTTTGAAATTTGACTTGCAAGTCTATAGCAGGGGTTACAGCTCCATTTTTGTTCTAATCTTTCAAAGATTTTTGAAAGTTTTTAAAGTTGTCAGCCCACACTTTAGTGGCAAATACACTATATATACACAATGATTGTGTGGACTTTGATAGATAGTTAACATTTCTATTTTTGATTTCCCTGTGTAGAAGTTGGCTGAGGGCCAATGTATTAAAAGCACAGAGCAACCAGCAGTTACATGATGCAATGAAGAAGTATAACGCAGAGATATGTGCTGCCCTCTGTGAAGAGTTTGGATTGGCTGATGTCCAGTGGAATTGTATTTGGAGCGATCGTTTTCTGAAGGGTTGCATCGTCAGCTTTAGAAGAATGTGTGAAAGAAATGTTCATATTCGTAATAATTTAAAAGGTATATATTTTTATCATGACAGCAGTTATATTTTGTTTATATTATTTTCGATTTTTAGTAGTAATACTTTGCAGTATATAAACATTTCATGAATATAGAACAGTTACATTCCAACTGCATCTCTCTCTCTCTCTATGTCTCTCTCTCACACACACACACACACACACATACACACACACACGTATCAATTAATACCAGTTATTTCCTCCTCCTCCAGGTCACGTGCTGGTGTTTGCGGAGGCCACGGGGATGTGCGTGGAAGGTCATGTGATCCTAGACGCCAGAGACGTCCCCAATGATTGGATACACGTAGGTTGACCTCAAGTTCACATTGGGTGTCATTAGTCAATTTTTATGTTGGAGTAGATAAAGTACTGGGTAGTATAGTCCAGGAAGAATGTGGCTTCAAGAAGATAATATAAGACATTGATAGGTTGTGAGGAGAGATATTGATACATGTGTTTATGTGATCATGGTTGAAAAGTTCCCGTCATTAATGTTTTTGAACTTCCTCAGTTTTATTTCTTGAGAAGTTCAGAGAAGATACTGAAGATTTAAAGTTATTGTTGAAAAGTTTTTGATATGGTACCAGGTAGTGGCAAATACTTTTACGATGTGTTGGTTAATCCATGGGTTATGTAGTTAATATGGGCGTTAGTGCTAAAAGATCTGGTGGTAGTGGTAGTCCATTTATAAGGCTGCATACAGTAGGGGTCATTTAAAAGTTATAATAATTTAGAGATCTGGTGGTAGTGGTAGTTCCTTTATAAGGCTGCATACAGTAGGGGTCATTTAAAAGTTATACATACCTAGGGATGTTATATGACCGTGGTGATATGATGATCACTGAAGCCTGTCCATTTAGCCAAGCTTCAGTGAAGATCGAGGGCAACCTCGAGCCGCTACCCAAAAATGTCTCGCTTCATGTGTTTATGGCTGAAAAGTTCCTGTCATGAATGTTTTTGAACTTCCTTAGTTTTATTCCTTGAGATGTTCAGAGAAGGTACTGAAGATCTTAATTTATTGTTGAAAAGATTTTTATATGTTACCAGGTAGAGGCAAATACTTTTATGATGTGTTGGTTAATTCATGGGTTATGTAGTTAATATGGGTGTTAGTGCTAAAAGATCTGGTGGTAGTGGTAGTCCATTTATAAGGCTGCATACAGTAGGGGTCATATAAAAGTTATAATAATGGAATGCTCCTGTAGAATTCTGTATCACAGCGTATTTGTTGGAGTGGACTACAAATAGTAAAGGGAGAAAAGAAAAAAGGATCTAATTAATAGTGTATATTGTGTTGTGATAATATATCAGAGCTGTTGGAGAGATTTATTATTTATAACATGAAGATAATTTTCAATTTTGGTATCCGTTTTTGAAATCCTGTTCAGTGAAAATGAAAGAAAAGATTTGGTAAAAAGCACTTGTTTATTATTTATTTATTTATTTATTAATTAATTTTTTTATTTTGTTCTAAGACCCCATTTCCAGAGATTATATCGATCTACTTTAGATCGACCTAACTCCCTGGGGGTTCACGCTAAATAGCTGTCAGCCGAGCGGACACGAAAGTTAATTACCCCTTTACAGCTTATAGTAGGCGGGACGGACATTGAAGCCGGATTATCTGACAGTAATCTAGTGAGACTCCCCGTGGGGATAGATCAATCTAAAAGCTCTGGGAATACAGCCTAAGATTGATCTTCATTTCTACTTTTTAGCTTCTCTCCTCTCTCAGTGAGTACAAAGAAGGATTTGAAAAAAATGTCCGGATAGCAGAAGAGAAGCTGAGCAAGCTGTTACACGGACTGAGAGTTCTACCTCGTCATAAAGGTGCTACACGTATAGTATTAGTCCATGAGTATTACAACAGGGTCATGATGTTAGAGGAGATGCTGAGACAGTATAAAACAGAGATCGGAGTCAAGGAACTTCTGTCTGAAGAAATGGGTGATTTAGATATGGTGCTGGAAGGGTAAGGTTAAAACTGAGAATTCAAAAATAAAAGATTTTACGCATTTGATGATGAGGACAGTTTAACTTAAAGGACTCTTATTATAATATATCAATATAATATAATATAATATAATATAATATAATATAATATATGTCATTTGAATATAATTTATGTTTGAGGAAACTACCTTATTAATGACACAAAAGATTCTTTATTTATCTGAAGTGCTTTTATGTTTGACACCTGCAGAAATGTACCAAAGTAGTTTCCTGTAGTATTTGCAGATATCAACTGTTCTCCCCTCCTGGCCAATCTGTTAAATGACAATGTTTCAAATAGTATTAAATACATTTAATTGATAGGTTGTCTCAGACATTCTGTTATTATTTATATATACAGGCTCACCTGACCAATCATGCATTCTATATTTGTATCTCCAGGTTGTCAGGCTCTCTGTCCGTGTCCACTACGGGGTCATTCGTGGTGCCAATGGGGGTCAGTCCGGAACGTTTGCTGACCTTCCTGAGAGACAAGACTGGAGTGGCCAGACAGACCAAGGCAACTCACCAGAGGTAGTCAATGATGGCAAAGAGTTTTTGATGAATGTGAAGCTGCATTCATGACCTGCAAACTAACTAGTCCATGGATCAAAAATGGCGCACACTTGAAAGCAAGCCATATATCCCCTAACAATAACATAATTGATTCCCTGCCCCTCCAGCACACCGTCCCAGCAGGGGCAGAGCAATTAATAATGGTACATGCTTCCAAGTGGGTTGCGCCATATTTGATCCATGGACTAGTTACTCCAGTGATCAACTGCTTGTGAATGCTCCCTCAGTGGGTGAGGTGGCCTATTTGCAGGTTGGCCATCTGTAAATGGTGCTGGATAACATAGTTTAGATGGCTTACGGTNGTACTTATTGCTCGTTTTTTTAGAGCAGAAAATTAATTTAATGTGACTTTTAAAGACCCATTTTGGTCTTTGTAGTCTTCTTCAGAAGTGGATTGCTGCATAAAAGGGAATTTTTTGGTATACATGAATAAGGTACAGTGATGCCTATGATCACACATGTATAGGCAGCCCTATTCTTATTTCTTTTATAAACAGGATGTTAATTCATTAATTATCATGACATAATTCATGATTTTATTCTTTGCGATGCTGATTCTACTCTTTTGTGTAACCTCATCTTCGATTCCAACACTTTTTCTTGACAGGCTCAGGGAAAAGGAAGAATCTTTAATCGCGAAGTGTCAGAGAGAGTTCCAGTTGGCCAGTCTAGTGAAGGACATCAGTGTGTCTTCTGAGCAGATGGTGGTGTGTTGCGAGGCCTTGTTACGAGAGCCGAGGGAAATTAACCGACCGTTGCCTGGTGGTCACATACAGGTGTCGCAGTATTACGACGTGAACTACGAAGGAGAGCTATGTATTCCGTGGAACTGGGCCTCCCTTGGCAAATGATGGACTTTCTGGGACTTACATGCTATTGTTGATTATTGTCATTTCCAAATATTCAAAAATTGTTTTAGAGATATCAGTTGCAGGATTTTGACACCTTTAGTGGTTGTGGGATTTTTCCATCACGCAGGGTTCTGAATTAGAAAATATTAATACCATATAAAATAGGTTAAATTTACTTCACTTCATTTTCTTTGGCAACCAGATTTATAAAAAGTGATATTCAGTTCTTGCAAATTAATAATTATTTTGCTGGTTGTGTACTTCTGAACAATTTGACAGGTAATTAATTAAAGAATATTGACATGGGTAAAGTCGTACAAACTGAAAATCAAAGCTTGCAATTTCTTAGTGCTTTTAGACCATAGGAAACAAAAAGAAGAAAATGAAAACTGAAAATTCTGAAATCGGGCACAATCCTGAAACCTTTTCATCCGTGTATTGAAGACCATGACAATCCCTTTTACTTCTGCAATTTTGAACGAAAATTGGTTGCAAAATGGCAAACTTTTTTTTATTGAGCTCGAGTCAATACCCGTTTGTGGCCCATGTCATTTTATTACATATGTCGGTATGCAGTTGATGTTATGATGACATATGCCCCATCTGACTGTTTTTATTATGCAATTCTTATAAATAGAAATAAGATGTGTCCATTCTTATTATAATATATGTGTGATGTACCAGTTACTTAGTTTAACTAGAGCCAAGGGGTTCTAGGAGTGTCCGGCCAGTTGCTAAAATGCCTGTTAGCATGTGCATAAAGAAATTGCTCACTTTTAAGACTTTTTTTTTTTGAAAAATAAAGTGATTTACTTGAATGTGCTGTTTTGTTTTAGTCACAACAAGGTTGCACATTGCCAGTTAAAAGATTTGCAGATTTTTTCCACCACAACCGGCGCTCACTATGGTCAATTGACTTTGTAACTGTTAGAAGTTATTAATAATTTGGTCAATTTTAAGGATTGTATTTCTTTTGATAAAGTGCTTCTTGACAAAGCACGCATGTTTCATTGGCCATCAACAAGAAATGATTTTGGTGGTTTCACGATTGGAGATCTGGGGGTATTTCCAATAATTTTAAAAAAATTTTACTGCTCAAACATGGCCACAACTTCCAACATCTAAGAGAAATAACCAAAATTCCAACACTAATATGGTTGTTAAGATTTCATGGGCACTTTATTGTCCATTAAATGCCACAGATGTTACAGAATTGTGATGGCCTGCTCCTGTACGTGAATATCACATACAAAATTTAATGAATGACTTCTTACCACATTACACAAATCACCAACTGGTAGACTGGCATTTCTATGTATTTATCCATAAAAATTCTTTTCACATATTTTCTCTTTTGCTAATCAGACAAGTACAAAATGAGGCCCATCTTGCTTAGTGTCACCATCTACAGTCCGTTTCATTATCAATCAAGATTGACAAGTCTGTGCAATGATTGGTTTAACTAAGTAAGCCGTTTAGAAAAAGATGTATCTACACTTGAAAAATTTACAATATATACAATAACAACTGGTTTCAGTGTATGTTTCTTAGGCAAAAACTAGAAGTATTTGTCTACTATCATAAGCCAAATCGGGCATTCAAGTAATATGAATTCTTTATGAATACATTATAAGATTATATGATATAGACTGTGCATGCAATGAAGTGCTTAAGTTTCTGGGGAAAAAAATACAATAAGAACCATTTCGGAAGTCTAGGGAATGATGGTGAAGAAGGAAGAGATGTAAAATTAGCCAAGTTGTGAAATAAAATATAGGCTCCATTCTCCTCAGCACATAAAAAGTACAATTCTCAGCAAAAACTGAGGTCAAAGTTTAATTTCCTTGACAAATCTATTATCCTTCAATTTCAGAAAAAAATTCAAAGTGATCATAAATCAATAAACATACTTGACTAAATACTATGAGCAGGAATTGGGGTTTCGTACATCTGTGACAAGTGTAATTATAATTAGTAGAAATGACAAATGAATTACATACAATTTTTTTCTGAATATTTCTCTATTGCAAGATTTTTAAGCTCAGTTATTCTTTACACAAAAAGCTCCTGGCACGAAGACTTCTAATTCTGTTTATTCTCTCATTGTCTTAACCAGGTTAAACATTTGTGAAATCATGATTAGATTTGTAAGTATACTATCTGGGGTATAGATCTATGTGATAAAACCTTGAGTGATAAAGCCAGCAGTTTTTAGATATAATAACCATATTGCATTTGTGAAATGAGAATTGTACTAACTGCATTCAGAATAGTGAACTAACTAGTCTGAGGCTCCATTTAGAACAGGGGACTAACTAGTCCGAGGGTCAAATATGGCCACCCACTACAAAGCTTGCCGTTTAATCCGCTAATAGACACTGAATAGATATCCCATGGGGACGTATTCTAGTTAGTCAGCCATATTTGACCCTCGGACTAGTTAGCCCACGGTTCTGAATGGAGCCTAAGAGTCAAATATGGCCTACCCATTTGAATACTTCCCTACGGGGAATCTATTCAGTGTCTATTAGCGGATAAGATGGCAAGCTTTTTGGTGGGTCGCCATATTTGACCCTCAGATCAATTAGTCCAACGTTCTGAACGCGGCCTTAGAACATAAATATATTGCTTAATGCATTAATCTTACCAAACAAACATTATGCAGACTACAGTGTTTTACATGAATCAATGGGTAGTAATGTGCTTCTTTGGGTCCACTGTTTTTTTTCACAGTAAAAATAGATGTCCACACAATTCCCAGCTTTAACAGTTAATCAATTACTTCATAATCTGAACCATATGTTCCCTTATTCTTGTAACTAGTGAAATATATAATTCATATATATAAAATTTCAAATGATATGTAAATTTAAATCACCTGTTTTTATATGTATAATTATGATAAACAGTAAATATTTTCTGGAAAATTATCATTATGTTGTACAGAAAATTACCTTGGGAAATGAAATCAACATAGACACAACCTGACCAAGGTGAAAAAATTGTTTTTAACCATAAATATTTCTCTATCTAAATAGTTAACCTAGACATGAAATGAATGGTACCAATTCTCAGACAAGATCTTTTAACACGCAAGATGATTAACAGAACAAATGTAAGAACGATAAAAGTAAATGAAAATATTGATAAAAATGCTGTATTCTACTTTGAGTTGTGGTTTTCCATTTTTTTTCTGTCAGCATACCATATATATAATACAATGTATATATCTTTATGTATACATACCTCTATCATTTCAAACTGTGGTTTCAGCCTAAATTCAATTAGTAAAGTATTTCAAATGGTGAATGTATAAATACTATCTGTATAGTTATTTTGGAAAGAATTTGCTAATGTTTTTTCCAAAGTGGGAGTTTCTCTTGGCTTAAATACTTGTTATCTGAAATAAAATCTGTTTTGAAACGATTTGAATATTTTTCCTACCATTAAATCTCGGACAAAGTCCCATTTAATCGATGCCGTTCATTTTTTTATGGAAGATCAGATTTTTTTCAGCAGTTTGTCACATCCATTCCCACTGTGAAGTCTTTATCAAACTTTTGGGGTCTTTACAATGAAAATATTGAAGAAATGAAATAACTTTCTTTTCACTTCTTCAGTCTAAAATTTTGATAAAATTTCATATTTGCAGGATAAGCCTTGTTTACATTTTTATACACTCTAAGGATCTTCCAAATATTATGCATAAAAGTTAGAGCAGAAGTTCAATTCAATGGAGTCTCTTGTTCTAAACCTACTTCTCTAAATGCTTTCCACATGTTAAATCTTTCAAAATGACGTGAAATCCATGTAATTGCTAACCTGCTCACCTACAATGTAACCTTAACCAATTGTGAATCTTACCTGTAAAGATATAAATATATCTACCTCAAAGATGGCTCTTCCTATCTTTTTAAATCTTTTTTCAACTTGTCATTGTAACCTTAAATTGCATACTACTCTACTTGTCAAATATACACATCAGTCTTCAGTACAGAAAGCCTTTCATAAGTCAACAGTGAATATTTTTCTTTTTGCTGTGACTTGAATCACTTAAGTTGTTTTGGTAATTTCTAAGCACAAACTGTAATTTTTTTGAGCTGCAAATTAATTCAAATGCACACATTTTCAGTGTGACCAAATATGTTCTCTTAGCATGCACTGAAAGGCATTAAGAACTTCACAAGATACAATCCAAGTCCTTAGTCAAATATCTTTGCATTCATCTTCAGTACTTCACATTTTCACCGCTTTTCCTCTAAGCAAATTCTGCCTCTACTTCTTTGGCTTTTTCTTCATATTTATCTGATTTCCATATACTTCTAACTTGGTGAATACTTCAGCTGCTGATGAAGTTCTCTCCTGGCTAGAGTGACTTGCAAAGCATGGGCTAGAGCGTCATTATCTTTAAAATTGTCTATATCTTCATTTTTATAAAAATATATTGGTCAATCATCTTTACATGTGTTCTTTCCCCCATGCCAGAATATTTGACATACTATGAAAGGGGTCAACAACTGTTTCAGAAAGTATGTAAATATGTGTGACTCCACAAAACAGGGGCGGGCACTATAATGTCACCACTGCACTGTCCTGATCTTTTTCACTTGTTGTTGGGCTCGTATCGTTTATCAGTTGCGTATGGTCCTTCACATCATCATCTTCCTCCTCAACAATACGAATTTCATCACTTTCCTGAGAAGCCACGGAAACGGTGGACCCCATAGACATCTGAGAGGCGTGCGACATTTGCGAATCGCGCCCAACGCCTCCGCGTTTCGGTACGGGATTGTTCCTCTGATTGACAGGTTTGACGGTGATGATGAGATTGGAGCTATTAGCCACCATCATGTCAGTCACTTGGTCCAACGTTTTCCCCCCAACCTCGATTCCGTTCACCTCCAGGACCTCGTCGTTCACCGCTAACAGTCCCGTGCTCTCGGCCAGACCACCTGGCACCAACCGAGAAATAAAAATTCCTGGAACCTTTTCCAGTCCGTGGGGGGTCACCCGTACACTGGTGCCATCCCGAATATAAAAACCTAGAGGCTTGTCTGAACCGTTTTTGCATAGTTTCACTCGTCTGTGAGTCTCAGGTACAATGTCTACATCAATAATGGCCGACACCCTACGGAAATCCTCTGGCAAGCTAATAGCGATGTGAGGCCTCGGCTTGACTTCTTCTTTGATAAGCTTACTGATGATTGGATTGCGACGCTTCCCAAACGTTCCATAGCCATTGAATTCAGCCCAGCTTTCTCCTGAAATATTGAATTAACAATATATATTGCCATCATGGTTTTAAAAAGTTAAATTTCTCTGCACAGAAATATAACAAAGTAATATTCTCTTTATCAAGAATAGACCAAAAACTATATACCATAAAAATGTTACAACTCATGTGAAAAGACAATAACAATTGTATTTTTAATACTACAGAATTACTGCTTACTCAATTTTGCTTAATTCAAAAATTAATATAGATCTTAAATTTATTTTAACATTCACAGAATCAAAATCCAATGGGAAACCCATGTCCTCAGATTCCATTGTAACCTAAGCAGTTCACAATACACATACCATTCCTCTTACTCCAGTTTAATAGCAAACTGTTTACACAAACTAAGCACCCAGAAGAGAATATTTAGACAAATGTACAGCTTTCCCCAAACAACCTAAATCAGAAACCCACAATTTTAACAACTCTATAAAGCATTAACATCTAGACTTACAAAGATAACATTCTATCATATCCATAGATTTATAATGCCATCTAAACAGAAAAGTTCAGGGAAAGGCAATGCATATAACAGTTAGGCAGAATCTGATTAAGAGTTCATGCCTAACTGGTGGCACAGCAGGAAGGCTCTCCTAGGGTCAAAGATGTGAAATGGATAACATAATTTTGGTGACATATCTCTGCAGAAAAAAAGGGAAATATTGTGTCTCAGGAGGAGTCTGTTAAGATAATGTCTGTGCTTTATTTGTACTCTACTGTCCTGAAAATTGAGGGGTGAAACCAATGTTAGTGAGATCTGTCACGAATCTGAGTCCAAAATTATTCAAACTTGAGGCATAATGAAGAAAAACAAATGTATTAAAAAAAAAATCAACAAATAAAAATAAAATGAAATAAATAATTCAATATCGGTTGAAATTTGTCCCTTTTCTTTGAAAGCCCAATATTCCTACAGAAACATTATATAAAGACCGTCTGGAAAGTATCAGAGGCAGAGGCAACTATAATATTAGGAAGATCAAATGGAGAAAATTGCCTTTCTATCTCCTCTGTAGTTAGGTACACAAGGTGACGGAGGCCATGACATTCCTTCCTAGATGCTGCTGCATACATAATGGGACCATAATCAGTAGATGAGATATGAATAATGAACATAAATGTCACTCTCCCAATACTAGTCACTCTGTGTCGCTCCTTTAGAGGGGGATATTGTATCTACTTATATAATGTACTTAGTACTTCTTTTGAGTATTGTGCTCATTTTTAGCAGAATTCATACAACATTGATTTATCAAATTTGCCATGGAAAAATTTGGTTTGTGATAAACAGACAATTTTAAGGTTCATTAAAGTGATTCAAATTCAAAATACATTATTGTCACTTTATGTGATAAAACTTCACCAAAATGAAATATTGGTTGGTATTTGAAATATGTTGATGAGTTATTACCGTGTACAGGAAGAAAAGAAGAGATGTCCCCTGATTACACTCACCGAGGGAGAATATTTGTGCACATATTATATAAAATTACGACACTGAGTCAACTGGTACATGACGGGACAATAATCCAAATAATCCTCTCAAAAGTACAGCATTAAGAATGAACTAACTACAGGAGAGAGAGAGAGAGAGAGAGAGAGAGAGAGATTGAAAGGGGGGAGGGGGAGAGAGGGGGAAGAGGGAGATGACAAATCACATCCTGACCTAGACAAGCAGTACAAGCCTGTCTTCATAAGTAGACACAACATTGTCCTAATCACATGATAATGTTTTCTATTAGTCTATTGTGGAAAGAAAATTGTTATCATATTTTTTCCTTGTTTTTCACAGTTAATAATCACTTCCATTTATCTGAACTTTAATACACACTAACTGCCACAAGCCTCCAGCTGACGACAAGAGTTACAACACACACAACGTCCATAGATCTATCTACTTTCAAAGCGCACACTAAGAACAGAGTAGCATTTTTGCCAGCAGGAAGAAGGCGACATGCCAACTGGGCTAAAAAAAGAAGAAAAAATGGCAATGGGAAGTGCAACTACCAGGCACCATTATTTTGTCATCATTAATTTTCCTGTAGCAATTTCTTTTGTTCTGATAAAACATTTGGCCAATATGCATATTTTCTGTGTACAAAAATGCTTTGAAATTTTTTAAGAATTTGAATTTCTTACAGGTCTTATGTAATATCTTCAGGGCATTCTAAAGACGAAAAATGTTGAATGCATTACCTCTTGCAACAATCTTTCTTACAAGGAACATTCTGTTATTAGTACAGTTTGTGATTTTGTTGTTACCAACATCTCCTCCTACTCTTTTCAGAGAAATGGGACTATTTCATCTGTTTCTAGAAAATACTTGTATTCTGTGTGTGAATATTTTTGTAAAAGATATCACACAGAATATTATGATTTTATTTAAACAAAATATATCACTTCATCTGTTCTGAGAGAGCATCAGGTTTACACAAGGGATACACATCTAAGGTGAACTCAAACTGAAGAGGAGACCACCAAGAAGATAGTTTCCTTCCTGTAATCCTTCAACCCAAACCCAAGCTGACTGGAAAAGTTGGTAATTCTGACAGGACCAGACAGCTAGACTGATAATGATCTCCCACAGGCTTGGAGAAATGGAGAGCCTGCAGCAAGTGCACTGAACAGTTTGTGGAGGGTTATCCTATATGAGGCTCTACCTGGTTAGAGAGAAAGCTTTTTTTAAAAGAAAACACATTATCTGGTTCATTCTTTCTACAGTTTGGGGTGTGTATTTTGCAAATGAGAGAATAATTTACGCAATGCAAATTGGAACAGGAAAACCCTACATATTTCACAAATAAAATGTTGATCTATTGCCCATGAAAAGAACAATTAATAACTTGGCATGCTGATGAAAATGCTCTGTGATCTCCCAACACTGACAGTATAGGAACAGCTCAAATGATACCAATAACAACTGAACATGAACCGTCTCTCCTCTATGGCTCTCAAAGTTAAAGGTTTTCCATTAAGTCCAATTAAAACAACACCCAGCTGATAACATGCAGGCTTTCCACTACAGTCTGACCCTGTAGTCCATGTAACACCCTCTCAGGCCAGCTGAGCTGCTAAAACACTGGATTTTAATATCAAGATACTGGAAGAAACAGGACTGCTTTACACTGCATTGTTAACCTACAAATTAACCAATACACGGGGTCGAAAATGCTAGATTTTTTTCCTCTCATTATTTGGTAGTGCTTCAAATAACTGCAGAAATGAATTTCATCTTTGAATACTGAGATGACAGTACATATTCTCATGTCAAACAAGGAAAAGGTTGAAAATTTTACAATTAATCATAAGTGGAGTAGATTCTTATTTTGTATATATTCTAAACACCCTGTCCTGCTCTCATAAACTCCACCACACACTATATATCTGCTACCATATTCTTTCTGTCAACACAGGCAAACACACCATTTTATCCAATTATGAACAAAGGACCCAAGGACCAACAAAATACTTCAGCTCTCAACAACTTTCCCAGCACGTGTGTGTCATGCCAGGGCACTTTATGGCCAAGGTAGCACTTGGGTGACCAGGGAGCAAACTTGTATATAAATATTCTGGGCAGCAGGAGGGCACCTTGTTTATCAAAAGACAAAGAATTTTGAAAAAAAAATGTCATAATTCCACGTTGGTGACTTTCATGAACACACTGCCAAAAAGAACTAGAATGTACTAAACTTTACTGCAAAACATATATTAACATCATTTATTGACAGAAATTTGAAGAGGTTGCTTTAAACTTTCATCTTGAAAAAAAAGTTCAGAGAAAGGTTTTCTAGTTGAATGCTTTCTGTAGATGAGTGGGTGAGAAGGGAAGGTCAGACATCCAGAACCAAAATTAATGACTGAAATATGTCTAAAATGTGAGCTACGTGATAATTTGTCATTTAAAGTAACTAATGGTAGCCATGGCAACAGCCACCGCCTCCTGTCAATTAAAATGTGTAACAAGCGTAAGATTTCCTCCACACAATGGAGGCAATAAGGCCAGAACTGCTGTGACTCAGGTTTAACTAGATATAATTAGCTGAAATCTTTTCTCGAATTCCTTGTTTTCCATTCAATGCAAATGTCCCCTTCTAGTGCGAGACAAAATATAATTAGCCTGCATTTCAGCCTTCCCAACAGCAAGGAATTTACCAGGGAATGTTTGTCATTGTAGTACTTGTCACCACTTTCGTAATTTGTTTTTTTTTTTTTTGTGGTTTTACTCTTCCCCTGACAAAAAGTTTGAGTAACTGTAGCCTATAATATAATATAAATGATGAGTAAAATACAAATTTTATTTCTTCACTTCCACCTTCTGACTACCTGTAGCTATTACCATAAATGAATCATCAGGTCTGAGTAAAGACCCCCCCCCCACACACACACACTATTCCTCCATCTTTATTTCAAAGTTAGAAATAATCTGGTCTCCCTTACAAAACCAACACCCAATGTTTTCTCTTTCTGGTAAGAACTTGGTGCTGAAGTCACCAGTTCAACGTCCTAAGGCTATCTGTGTGTAATTGCATTTCTGCAGCAAGCTGAGAAGATCGCATACCACTGGTAGTCTACTGCTTGTGTAGACAACATACACTACTTGACTTGTAATAAATCTAACTTATCTCTTTATTTTCATAATCATGTAATATTTCCATGCAACACATTACTCTACAGCACATGTGGAACTCGCTGTGATAATGTCAGACACGAAACAATAACTCATCTTTGTTATCATGGGATGGGTTTTTTTCTTTTGTCTTATGCTACATATTGTTCCTATTTTACAGAAAAGGTACCTGGTCTTTTTCTGTATCATATCTTTTATCTTGTCAAAAAAAAAAAAAAAAAAAAAAAAAAATTGACATGAAAGGGGAGTACTAGTAAATTTTAATGAAGAGATCTACTAGTATTTAGCAGGTACAATATGTCAAAGAAGATGACATTAGAGATTAAGTTTTTGTAGATCAGGAGCGACTGTTACTGTGATGCATTAGATACAAGACCAGCCACTCAGCAGTCAGACACCTGATCCTAAACATGTTGAACCAACTCCTTCAAACAGTTTAATACCTGTGTCTAAATTAGTGTAGAAAGCCCAACTTCATAAGTTGATGAAGGTGTAACCCTAAAGGATGAGGGGCTCCATGCTATCATAGAGATGAAATTATTTAAGTAAAACAGAGGTGAACTGAGCATTAATGAAGTGGAAATTCTTACCACTCCAATCTCGTGATTTAACCCCAGGTCCAAGGCAAACACACCAGGACATTGGATAAACACAGACAGAAGAGCCTGTGGAGAGGTCTACATAACGCTGAATATATACCCTGTACCAACCACAGACCATATTCACTCAGTCTTTAACATTGGTGCCACAGCCATAATCTATCTAGCTAAGTGGTGCATGTTTGACATGCAGTATTGCAATCAAGTTGACCATCTTTTCTATAGATGTAGTGTACTTAATTAAGTTCTGAGAAAAGGTACAATCAGCACTACATTGTGATAATGGAATGGTTTTTTACATATATTTATCAATGACAAAAGGAGTGGAAGTGATACCTACTACAAGCCCGGAGCTAGAAATTTCAAAGGAGGGGGGGGGGGTCTTCTGAAAAATGGACCTACTACCAAAAAAAAAGCTTCATGTATCCGCCCCATGTATGGGTATAAAATTTTACCTTTTCCCAGCCAAAGGACACTTCATTCGACCCCCAACACCCCCCCTTGGGAGAGGGGGGGGGGGGGGAGCTGTTCCAGAACCACAAAAGTCCCTGTAACAGTTGTCATCACAGTTGACAGGTATCAGAAGCATTCTTACATCTGTTGTTTACCACCAGGTGGAGCACCTAACCCTTGTCAATAACTGGCATCGAATTTTTTGTTTCATCTGTTGCCATTTTTATTTACTAGTTCTTTTAACAATTGGGAAAAGACAAATTTTGTGGCTTCAATACATTTCTGGAAAATATAATTTTAATGTTCTTTTCCTCTTCTGAGAAGGTTTACTGAGAAACTTTAACATGAGAACCCTCCCTTAATTCTTGGCATGTTAACACTTCATAAGCTTTCAAAAAGGCTCCTATACTATATAATTTCGCCTAAGCTCAGTCTTGATATATATAATCATCTCTCAAAGCTGAGCTCTTCACAACACAGGTCATCCCAGCCTGCCACTCTGTACCATGTCATTACATATCAAAGGGGGGTTCAATTTTGCCGACTCATCTTTTGAGGTAGCCATTGTCCCCCCTGAACTGGGAGATGAATACCTGTATTCAGGTTGTGGGGTTCTTATCACACCTTTTCATCTGCCTTTGCAGAATGGAGAGAGAGATAATAATGGCACACTTGGTCTTTATAGCTCTCTTCAGTCAACTTTGAAGTTAGACTGGGTCAAAACTATAATGGACCAACAAATCATTCAGACAACCAAGCATATTACTCAGTACTGAATTTCTGAAGGGCATTTCAATTTTTTGTGTGTTTTAAGATCAAAAAATTAAAAGAAACCCCACTGTATCCATCTAGACCTTGAAGTAATGATAATCTAGTCATGAGTGACAGTCAAGGACCTTTTAACTTCAAAATTGCTTTTTGAAATACAAGTTTCCTTGTAGATCTGTTGACTGTTGAGTTGACATCGCTGACCTATCCAGAGTCCCACTTGGTCAACCAACCATCACCTGTATCTGGTACAGTTCTTGATGCTCACAGATATTAGCCTACTGTTGGTATGGGTATGACAAGGCAAGGGTTTTCCCACAGACCCGTCCAGTTGTCATTTGGACGGCTATTAGCCTCAAAAGACAACCTATATTTCCAAAGACGACTTACAAAACTTTGGGGTTGGTTGGTTGAGTTTGCTTGGGTTGGACTTCATGTAAAATTATGACAAAATTACAGATTTACATTTTGGACTCCCTGTACCCCAAATCCCTAGGAAACCCCTGCGGATAGGCATAGGCCAAAGAAGAGGTAATAGTTAGTGAGAGGGCCTGTCAATTTTTCACTAACCAGAGCAGAAATGCACTCACACTGGCTAATCATTTACCTGTGATAAATAAAGTGAAAAGTTGTCCAGGCTGTAGATATACAATTTACATGCATTAATATCAACCAACCACAGAATAATAATACAAGCATCCTCAAGGATCCAGAACATTTGAGGTTTCCTGGGATTCCAGGCGACTTACCTTTTTTCTGAATGTGGAGTTTTAAAATAGGTTTAGCTGTGGACACTGCTTTTACAAAATTTTCATCATTATTAATTGGTAAAAGTTCCTGGTCTTTTGGGTCTGTGTAGCAGACGAGAAATGGAATGTCTTGTAGGAAATGGAGCTCCCCGAGCAGCTTCTGGAACGCCTCAAATTGTGTGGAAGACTCTCGGTTTATGGAAAATCTCCTGAACTCTGCTTCAAACTAGAAAGATGAAAATAAACATTTTTAGATACAGATAATTTATTTGATCACAATTGCATAATGGAAAGCTGATGGGTTCTCTTTCCGATGAGTTGCTGAAATGGATGAGCAGAATTGCCATTCACATTATCAAATGCCATTTGTCCTTTTACAACCATAAAACCATGTAAATTTCACTCTGTTTCATATCTTGATATTATTCTTGTTCAAATCCCATTTTCTAACATCAAAAGACTCACTATGTCACCTTGAAAAAGTCACAAATGACCAAATTTTATATCAAAGAAAGAAAGCACAGTATTTTCAGTCTGCAGTAATCAGCAATAATTGAATTACTTGTTCTACTAGTACTTGGGCTTCGTTCACATGAAAAACCTATTTTCTAAAAATCTATTTTCTATTCGCGGTATCTTGTGATCACTGTCTGTGCCCTGAATACCCCGTGGTGTAATTACTGGCAGTGCGAGCCAGTTACTTCCAAAGCTGTAATTAATTCTCGCTCGGAGTGATCACAAGATACCGCGAATAGAAAATAGATTTTTCATGTGAACGGAGCCTTGCTCTCTCTCTCCCAGCCGATAGTAATCAAATTTTCCTGGGTCTAGGGATATCACAGCATATTACCACAAATCAGTGATATTGATGAAGTGTAAAATACTTCATTACATGCAACTAATTGAAAATGGAAATCATTACACACGTGACACAAAGTCATATGGGACACAACACTGCTAATTCATCTGACTGGTTTTTAGCATTTTTGTGTTATGGAGGAGAGAGGCTGGGGTAGTGCTAACACTCGCCAATTTAGCCAAATGCTAAATTTACCTAAAAAAGCTAAAGAAAAAGGGCTTGATTTGACTTATTTTAGTCAAATTATAACCATTCTGATAACAAGTTGACAAAAAAGTGGTGATTTGGCTAAGGGAAAAAAAATGCTAACACTACCCTAGAGATGTAATGATATTAACATCTTAACTGCCAACATACACAGCATCTTGATCACATCAATTATCAATTTTGGAATCAGTTTTAGACTAGTCCAATTCCATCCATACTACAGCCAATGTTATCACTTGCACCAACATTAACTGATTTCTACTGATGGGATTTTTTTATGGAAGGGGGGAGGGGTAATGAGATAATAATGAACCAGGAAACGGTCACACACAACTGTGACAAGTGTCCTTGAAGTCACATTATCAACGCATCATGCTAGTGTCTGCATCCTGTCAGTGTGTATCCATCAAATATATCCGATAATCTCATCATAGTCTTAGGATGATCCTCAGATTATAGGATAATCATGCTGATAAGATGTTTAAGGACTCATTTCTAATAAAACTATTGTTCAGTACACAGAAAGAATACAGAGAAGCTGGCGATTATATGGGTGCATTGGAAACAAGAAATAGTACATTAATCTGCTCATCTGATTACATTCAGCGAGAGTCCCTAGGGAGGTGGGTTGTTATACGTAGAAGGGCAGTTGCATTGGGAATGTGCTCTATATAACTGATAGTCAGTATCATATATATACAAAGCTGCGTCAATACTAATCATACATTTGTGTGTGTACACCCAGGGCTACATGAGTGCTTGAGCAAATGTTTGTGTCTCTGCACGAATCTCTGTCTCCTTGCACGCAAGTGTGTGTGTGTGTGTGTGTGTGTGTGTGTGTGTGTGTGTAAGAGACAGAGAGAGAACTGAGTCATAACAACAAATATTATCTCAATTGGTTTTACCACATTTATAAAATATATTCATACCTGTTCATATAGATAATACATACTGTATATTATATCAACTACATGACTAACAATGCTCAATAAACTTGTGTGTAAATCTACAAGCCATAACAGCCCTATGAGAACCATGTCTGTTATGTTCCTAAGTGAGCAAAGTACATAACAGCTCCATAGGAATGTAGGTATATCAGGGCGTTGGTGCTCCTTCCTCGTATTCTCTACATAGCAGGCAAGCTGACACTGGATATAAGCTAAATACATTGGTATCTAGCCAGGTCTCTGCTACACATAAAAGAGATTGGCACAGTAGACATTTTTTTTTTACAAAAGCAAATATCTTTCATGTACTGTGTCTTTTTTCTTCCATACTATTTTGCATAATGAAATGGGGGAGGACTTTTTAAGTGCTATTAATAATATGATATAGAAGGCTGACCGATCGATCTCCTCTGGAAACTGGCCATGCATGTCCAAAATGGGCCATCTCAGACCTCCCAAAATCACATCCTCAGCAGAACAATCAAGGCCTTATGCTATGTCAGCCTGATATGAGGCAAATTTCCACTGAATATATTCCAACTCTTGTCTGTGACCCAGATGATTAAGTTAAATTAACCACAGGTGATAAATACACCAGGTCAGGCCGATTTGTAAATTTGACTTCAAACCCCAGCAGTTACATCATCAGCGTAGTAGTAATATCTCGGTATCGTGTCATATAGAGAATCGCCTTCCACTGCACAGTGTAGAGAGAAGTATGGTGTCATCTCCTCATTCATCACTGTCATATCTACAGGTGAACTCTGCATTCCACAGGTGAGAGAAGCCATCTTCCACATCATACCTCCTCACGCCACCATTGGAGACCATTCCCAGAGACAATCGTACCAACTATGGAGTTGGGATTGAACCATCTGGAGGGGATTCTCGCTTAATTGCAATTAACCTGGGCTAGATGTCTGTCACACCTCTGAGGCTGATAGGAGGTAAATAACTATGGTTTAGCAGCTTTACAGTAGGCGTCCCAGATGTCTAAGCCGCTTGGGCTGAAAGCAATTTAGCGAGGGACCCCTAGAAATGGATCAATCCTGTTAGATCAATCTAGGGATGGGAACCCAGTCTTATTAATTTTAAAGACTACTTTGGCTAATAAATAAAAATGTAACTAGCTACAAAAGTTTGATTCCATCCAGATACAAATCTGACTGCTTCAAACCAGTTTAGACTATACAAAACTCTACAAGGACAAGAGTACTAGTACACAGTTGAATGACAGTAAATGAGATGAATTCACATTTATTCTTCCTCTAACACACAGTCCTTGGGTAACGTTCAGGCCAATTTTAACAGACAATATTTCAATTTTAACAACAGGTGATAGATAGTTTAATTCAACCCCCCACCCCCACTCCTATGTACCTCACATGTAACTCTCTTAGCTTAACTCAGAAATTATGATGCATATAGTACAACTGTTAGGATGGACTGCAATCAAGTGTTTTCATCAAGAAGTTAAAACTCAAATTCCATTTTTTGTTGAAACTGTTCTGAACACGGCCTTCCTCGGTGACAAAGGGCTCGGGATATCACCTGATTTCTTAACCACAAAAATGTCATTAAACCTCTTAGCATTGGAAACATAAGTTGGGGGATAACGTTACAGAATAAATGTACATTACGCAGTTTCTTTATTGTACTAGAACACATGAACTGCTTGAGAGGTGAGACACTTTGGGCATATTCCCAGAGCCTTTAGATCGATCTATCCCCGCGGGAAGTCTCACTAGATTACTGTCAGATAATCTGGCTTAAATGTCCGTCCCGCCTACTACAAGCTGTTAGGGGGTAACTAACTTTCGTGCCCGCTCGGCTGACAGCTATTTAGCGTGAACCCCCAGGGAGTTAGGTTGATCTAGTTGGATCGATCTAATCTCTGGGAATGGGGTCTAATATCTTTTCTCTTTTAACAACACTTGTTTTTTTCAATCCTAAACATATTCTGATATAAAATGCTCTTCAATGAAGACAAAACTCTTAAGCCTAACCTTCCTAACTTTCAATTTTAATGCATACTTTCCTTAAAGAAGCTTTAATAGATCTATTTATCTGTGAACTGATTTTTAGCAAATTTGATGATAACCAAATCTGAGATTTTTAAGCAGATAAACAGATTTTTTTTTAGCAAAATCCAACAGTCCATCCTTCTTTGCTTTGATCAAATATTCTTCAATAAATCTGTTTCCTGCATTTTCCCATTAAAACAAGCTCTATTGATTAGATTAACATCCCACTTAAAGCAGGATAATCACCAGCTGAAAATCCCAAATTCTTCAGACAAGATATCTCATTTTATCAATCAAGAAAAATCAGTCTGACCACTTTAATTTATGCCTCAAACTCTTGGCTCTCTGTAAAATGGAAAAGATTACTTCTAATTCATATAAATCCAAGTCAGTTCAGCCCCTGCACTAGTCTTGTCAGAGAAATATATTAATTCACAAATGCATAAAGACAGATGAATAGAATGATAAGAATGTACATAATGTTCCACGTTGTGTTTTCCCCTTGTTGGAATGTCTCCCTGGCCAGTGATTATACCTTGAAGTATGCATACATATCTGATACATGTGCAGGGATATATTTCTTTAACCAGCATGGTCAATGTGGAAACCTGTGGTATTTTGTGGAATTTAGAAACATTATACATTATATTCAGGGAAAAAACTCTATAAATACTACTTTTTGTTCACATTTCCAACTTCAACAAAAAAATTAATGATATAAAATATTCCTTTATATACACTAAGGCTATGTTTTAGCTAAGCTGTCCAAATATATTGCTGTAAATATTTCTCCAAATGTCAACATTAGTTTCATGGACTTATATGGGGGGGGAAGCAGTGAAGCACAATTTATCTGATTACTAATACATTTCTCTCAATTTGAAAAAAAAATATTGTGTTAGCCAAAATTCTTTATTTTCCTATATTTCCCCTTAAAGCTTATGAATCCTTGTCCGAGAATCTGCTTCTACCTCCTAACAACCTTCATTCTACTACTATTTAAGTAACTTGAGGAGCTCCCTTTTTATGTGGTAACTAAGTTGGTCATTGGAAGATGGACACATCTAAGGCTTCGTTCACATGCAATGNAAGACATACCGAAAATAGAAAATAGAAAATAGAAAATAGACATTGCATGTGAACGAAGCCTAAGTGAGCAACCAATGCTTGAGTTTTCACACACAAAAACCATGATAAAAAGAAAAACAATTTTCCCATAATGAGCTACAAGGGCTGCTATATCAATAAATCACAGTTAAACCAAGTGTACATGACAGCTACATGCTATCCTAGCAGACAGCAGATATAACCCATGGAGATGGATTTGCCGCGGTAGTCATCAAAATAACACCTCAAAAAGGTTAAAAAGCTTTTTGTCTTGTAAATATGCCTCGGGCTGTGTGAACTTTTGTTTGGTTGTTAAGTGCATCAGGAAAAAAAACATAGTATCATTATGGTAAAATCTCTAAATCCTGTAATTTCTAAAACAAATCAAGCATTAGTGGAATTTATCATTAACAGTAATTTGAACAATATTATAAGACTACAGAATTTTTTGACATTGAGACTCCTATACAACACAGCTGAGGCTATTATGCAGCCATTAACATCAAATTAAAAAAAAAAAAAAAGGCCAAATGATACAGAATCTGCGTAATTTGTCAATCACCTGTGGTACTAATGCACCAAAATGCTAATGCCACTAATGAACTTAATGACAAAATAATCACTTACTCTTCTTATCAATAGATCTCTATCTTATCAGTTAAAATGATCCAATACGACAATTTCACTTAGTGTGAGGATGGTAAATTTGCCACTTCCTTTTTTTATCAGCAAGTTATTTAGAAAACCATTAATAAAAGTGATATTTATTAGGATTTATGCCTTTAGAATATTTAACTGACAGTTACTTTTAGATACGGGACTCATTATTGCTAATTATCTCAAAATTCTGTCATTAAAAACAAGCACAATTCATCAATGTTTACCTATTAAGCCTCCACAGCTGTTAGGTTCAGATGCAGCAATGAAACTATCTTGAATACTCAATTTATGTCTCCTGATAATTTAAGGCGCGTTCCCAGCCATGCTGAGTCTCCCTATCTCACTATGACCAAAAGCAACAGCCCTTCCCCTAATAACTCCTTAAAGCTATCTCATTATACTTACACCCCATTTCCATAGATTAGATCGACCTACTTTGGATCGACCTAACTCCCTGGGGGTTTGCGCTGAATAGCTGTCAGCAGGGCGGACACGAAAGTTAATTGCCCCTTACGGCTTGTAGTGGGCGGGGACGGACACTTAAGGGTGATTATCTGACGGTAGTCTGGTGAGACTCCCCGCGGTGATAGATCGATCTAAAGTTCTGGGAATAGACCCTTAGCTTGTCTCAGCCCCTCTGTTCTACATAAATATTATATATCAGGCAGTCCTGCTCCATTTTACTGAATTAATCATGATCAGATAGACATATGGGACGGGCTGCACAAAGATCTAGGCAGATCCAACTTAACCAGAAACACGACTTTATTTCCAAACTGGAAGGCCATTTGTGTCATTACATTCTCCACAAGGAAAACCTATAAGCTACAAATGCAATACTGCTGTTGGTAGAAGAAAAAGATTTTTATTTTGCCTGAAACTGCCTGAAAACAAAATCTCTTATTCCCATAGTGGCTCATCATAAAGGGTCATGCAGGGTCTCTGGGAACTGATATATATCTTTAGATATTGTATGTATTTACTACAACTGTCCACTGGCTGTAACTATAACAAGATGTAGAAACTATTTAGAGAAAACCCACACAGTTTTCTGCCAGATCGCCATCTGTACTCTATCCAGATGTACATGTTTTTACCTCTGGTTGCTTTCCACATGGTTCACAGCTCACACACACATAAGGGCAACACAGAAGTCAACCTGTTATAACACTACCCCACACCCTGAGGATCTGGTGGTGAAAACTGACCACAGAACCTGACTGGTAACACAGAAGTCAATCTGTTATAACACTACCCCACACCCTGAGAATCTGGTGGTGAAAACAGTCCAGAGAATCTGACTGGTAACACAGAAGTTGATCTGTTATAACACTACCCCACACCCTGAGAATCTGGTGGTGAAAACAGTCCAGAGAACTTGACTGGCAACACAGAAGCCAACCTATTATAACACTACCCCACACCCTGAGAATCTGGTGGTGAAAACAGACCAGAGAACCTGACTGGTAACACAGAAGTCAATCTGTTATAACACTACCCGACACCCTGAGAATCTGGTGGTAAAAACAGACCAGAGAACCTGACTGGTAACACAGAAGCCAACCAGATGAGTGCAGTACTGACGCATTATCCCTGGGTCAAGTTTTTTACTATAAATATTCAGCAAAATAACTGCTATTGAACCAAAACAAAAACAATGCATGTTCCACATGATAATCAAATAACCAAACATTGGTCCAAAAAAGTGCTAATTAAAAATGTGGCAAAAGCAAACCCAGTGAGTTTAAACCAAAGTGGTAACTTGATTATTACAAATGGACAGAATTTTTGTTCAACTTCAAGGACAATGCAGAACCACCAGTACATAATAACTATTAATAAAATTGGAGTGTAATCATGAAACACTCAAGGCTACCTTTCCTAGCTTATCAGAGAAACACTGGAATTCAATGATAAATTAGGTTATCTCCCACCTGACAGAAATTATTAAACTGGTCTCTTCACCTGTTTTCAATGATTCAACCTGGTATACACTGTCCATATCACATCACATAGCTGGTATTACCATATACCAACAACCACAGGATAAATTGATGTGGTTGCTTCCAAGCACCTGACTTGACTTCATAGATTTTCCATTTACCGCATGACTGATTAGCACCCACTTGGGATTCTAATTAATTTGCTATCAACTCAAACTCCAAGTGGGTGAAAAAAGAAACAAATGGTGGTCTGTGTTAGTTTAGAGGTGATTTACTTCTATAAACTTGTGGTTCTCTCTGTGAGTGTATTTTACAGATGGTCGGACATGCACTTGTCTTGAACTGGGGTATATTTAAATTCTGTGAATAATTTGGACAGCATAATAAAAAGTTATGGCAAGGTCTTTATAGCAACTACTGCTTGTCACCCCACGGTGACTGATTTTTGCCTTATGGTTCTCTTGTTAGGTGACAATTTTCCAAAACAACAGTTCTCTAAGAGCTTACTCATCAAACAGAGCCGATACTGAGTGACTTTTAAGGTTAAACCAGCGCTTAAAAGACAAAATACTGGGAAGCTTTTATAAAAACGCCTTCGTGGAGGCGGTCAAAATCACAGATGGTACCCGTGGTCCGAAACGCAGTGCACGAGCGGCATGTTGAGAACTGGGTCACATAACTCGACACAGATACCAATTGTAGATTTCAAATCGAACCACTTCGCTTACCTTGCTTTTCACTTCTATAATATTAGGATCGACGTGATTAAATGCCTTTGCGTTCTTCGACATGATTGTTGCTTCAGCCTTATGTAAAGGCTTAATTAATTCCTAACACATGAATTCTTCTCCCTCAAGTTCCGAGGGTGCCTCTCCCTTGAACAAGTGCACAACCGACGATGACATCAATCAACTAGCCTCGCTTTCGATAACAATAATTAAGTGAGTCACAACTTAGATTCCTGTAGATTTAATAGATTTACTCAGCATCGGAAAGGTGTGGGGAATTTATTAACATTACTCAATCACAGAAAAATCCTCCGTGTGCAATAAATGAGAGGAGAAGAACTTCACAAATTGGTGTTTACAATGTGTCCGCATGTATCGGTGACGTCATCAATAATGGGAACTTGTTGACTGTCGAGCCAGATTACCCCTGGTCGAGCGGTCGATTTGATCTCTGAGATCATTGAAGGCGCTGAAATAGATGTAATTAATGTATTCCTACTGACATTGTTTTAAAGACATTAACTTAAATCCTCATGGAGTATGAAAAATGGGAGAAGATCATGATACATGCTGTTACTGACCAAACGTGAGGTCTGAATCGGTGAAGGAAATGTCCTCAGTGTGTTTGCCAGGTGCAACGACCTGAGTAGCATTTGCACATGATACTCAATGTTTGGAGTAGACAGATTTGGACAGAATTAGATGCCGTGGGATTACTGACACCTTTGATTGTCAACGCAAATTACTCAGCAGTCAGAGCTAACGTGAACTTTGACTGTTTCACACTTTGGAGGACTAAGACTTGCTGTAACAGTAAAATGTGGCATAATAGTAGATTACAGAAACCATGGATTTTACCAGAAATACTTGATTATGATGTGTCGTCTGCTGTATCTAACAAAGAACCACGTTTTCTACAAATTCTCAAGGTACATACATAGTATTTGTACCACATAGTACCCTGTAGTGCCAGGGACAGGTAGAACCGGCCGGGTAGCTCAGTAGGTAAGAGCACTCGCCCTGTAAGCGAGGGGTCCCGGGTTCGATTCCTGGTCTGGTCGGTGATTTTTCTGCACTCACCCCAAATCGCTACAATGGTGGCAGCGGTGTTGCGAGATAGGGCTCGCGTCTTTCGGCATTTGGGGGGGAGGAGTGTAGTGCCAGGGACAGGTAGAACCGGCCGGGTAGCTCAGTAGGTAAGAGCACTCGCCCTGTAAGCGAGGGGTCCCGGGTTCGATTCCTGGTCTGGTCGGTGATTTTTCTGCACTCACCCCAAATCGCTACAACCCTCTACACTCATGCCCTCGCTATATTATCCCCTAGCTGTAGTCATGATCGAGTACGTGTTTCCATTGTTCTGTTACATTGATGGAGAAAACCTCTTCTATTAGTATATGTGTTTCTTTCAATTATTACTTGTACTATCATTTGTTTAATTGAAATATATTCCCAAACAAATAGACTATACTTATTGATTGACTTATAGATATAAGATAGTAACTTCCCAGTATTTGTTATGTATATCATACATATATTGGAGAGAAATTAGTATATATATGTGAGTCCTTTGAATTTTATCATTCAATTCAAAATCAGATTTGTCAGTATTTTTTTTTTTAATAAACCCCTTGTTGGATTTAAGCCAAGCGATGGTAGCTTATTGTTTAGGTGTGATATCTACATAGGCATGATAGTTACACATTATCAATACTGGTATGTTTACTAGCAATTTGAGGTGATATAGAATGAAACGCATCTAGCAACTGGCATGATAAGACTGTGGTGGTGTTACTTTATGTTTGGAATAAGGTTTAAATTTGATTATTTTCAATGCAAATAACAACAGCATTCATTAAGCACATAAAACACCTGACATTTTGCCTAACTCTGACATAGCAGTCACATGCTCAAACATTGCACACAGATTAGGAATAATACCTGGCCTCTGATTGGCTGATTTGTTAACATGTGAATTGAGGCGTATGTTCCATATAAGGATATACCTGTTAGTATGAAAAAATATGGCTTTTTTGACTGTTTTAAATTTTGACAGATTGATCACAATTATTTTTGAATTACAAATTTTTTTCATGTTTTAATATGCAAGTAATCAGTTGAGATATATAATGCTAGGTTGAATTAATAAGCTATTGTATAATTGAAATGTCCCATGTATTGCCACCACTCTAAAGGCCGTGTAACGGTCAGATATTAGACTGTGGATAACAAGATTCCGTATCGCTTCTCGGCCTTTTGGCTAAGATCAAAGTGTAGTATCTGTTCTTATCAGCTTAATATCTGATACGTCTCCTACAGGAGACTTCGATATTAAACTGATTTTTGGAACTGGGCGGGGCGTCAGGAGCTTGCTCCACCCCTGCCACGGGTTGGCCTGGTATTGCAGTACCTCCAGGATCGGCCCACTCCCCTCGGGGAGTAAAATTGAAATGAAAGTAGTCTTCCCTCTCTCTCTCTCTCTCTTCCCCCCTCTCATTATCTCTTCACATTCCTGCTATAGAAGTTATCTCTCATACTTGATGGGTTTAACTTCTTTAGTTGTAACAGCCCGCATATTCATACATGATAAGTTACTTTATTAAACTACCTATAAATAATTGTTGTTTACTCCTAGGTAGCATTTTCTGGGGGAGTGCTGGCATTTTTTCCTCTTAGGTAAATCGATACTTTTCATCACTTTTTTCCAGATGGTTTGAAGTTGACTTAAACAAGTCAAATTAACCATTTTTGTTTAGCCAACTCGAGTCAGTTTTAGTATTTGGCTAAATTGGCGAGTGATAGCTCTACCCCAGATTTTTCATTTCAATATTTTTGCTAGAAAGGCAGATAGGTTATTTTATGTTTGGATTAAGTAGCTTGCAACTGCTTTATCTGGGTCAGGAGTGCTGTATTTTAGGCCAAATATTAAAATGAATTTATTTTTGTATAATTTTAGAAAGAAGAGGGGCCATGTCCAGACGGTAGCATTGTTGTGTTGGTCACAGATGGCAAGTGGGACATCAAGGCTGTGTTAACACAGGAAGCTCTGAAGGAGTTCCAAGAGTAGGGGACTGTTATAGGGCTCACTCTCAATCAGTCTATGTGGATCGATCCAACTCCATGAGGATACTCAATGTATAAAATCAGATTATCAGATTAACACCTCTCCTCTTCCTTCCAACCTCTTTGTATAATCACCTGCTTTTTTGTGTTCTGCTCAATGCCAGGAAGAGGGTTGTTAATCTCTTAAACTGATTGTATTCAGCGAGAGTCCCGCGATGTTGGATCAATCTACACAGACCGATAGTTTCAATGGGAAAGAGCCCATAGTTGTTGGACTACTGTCTTTTCATCATTAGAATTTTTTCGCATAAAAAATTAGTTGTATTATTTTCATCTCTCTATGTTTTTGTTTGAAAGACGTAAGGACTCACGATCCCACCTTATTTTGAATATATGGAAAGAAAATGGTAAATGTTTGTGCAACAAAAATTTAATTTGGGGTAAAAATTTTCAGAATGAGGAAGGATGCTGTATGATACAAAGAGAAAACTTATAGAGAATTACATGGACTTATTTGAATAAATTTAGTTCGTGTCTTGTTTTTAGCTTTATTTGCACAGAATCACTGTCACAAAAAAGGCAGCCAACTCATTAAACACAAAATTTGATTAATATAAATAAATGAAAAAAATAAATAGATAAATAATTAGGTAGATGAATATATTTAAAGAAAATGAAGGTTAACAAAATGATGAGAAAATGATGTCATTGTGATAATGGATAATTTTCCTGTTATTCTTGTTACAGGGAAGAAAGATATTCTGAAGAATATTTTCATTGTTCCAAGATGATAGCAAGGAAGTATCACTTCAGTGTGGTTTACTCTGACATAAAGGTAATATGCAAGGGTCATCTTTCACTTAATAAAAACTTATTTTTTAGTAAACTTTCATGTATTATGGAGGGTTGAGGCAGCTGTCTTTGGCACAGAATTATGACTGATCATTTGATGCTACAATTTCTGTTATTTTCCATTAAGCTTCAGTGTTAACTTTTACCATTCACTTGAAACCACATCAGATCCAAGGGTGTTTTAGGGTATACTTGTCAAGTTTTTGGTTGTTTTAATGAAATTTCTCAGTTTATACACCCAGCCAAAAAAAGTTTGGAAACATAAAATTGTTTTTCAGTGATTAAAACCTGTGAAATGAAATGGGAAAATCGTCAGTGTACATAAAATAGTAACAAATGTTTGGTGCCTTATCCATCAATATTGGGTGTTTAACTTAGATAAGGTTATTTTATAATTATTAAAAATAGTGTTTACCAACTTTTGTGTAACACTGTGTATATGTGTAAGTATTTAGATTTTTCCTTTGAATTCCAGGAAAATTCAGAGTTTTTCCTGGTCGTGACAGAGCTTAAATTTTGGACCTGTCTGCATGGACATTACCGTAAAAATCCTGGAATATTGTGGTGAGACTTGGTTATATGTTTTGTTATTTTGAAGGGTCTGTCAACTTTTGCATCAATGGTTTGTTTGTGTCACAGCTATACATGTAGGTTTTTGGAGTGCTAGAAATCGAAGAGAAACAGAAGAAAGAACGTAAAATAATTAATGCTTTGTTTTTTAATAATGAGATAATTGATTTTTAAAAAAGATTTTTGTATGGGTTTCTTTTCAGTAATACTGTTCCAGAGGTTAGGCAAAAATTGGAGAAAGGTTGGATACAGTGGAAGTAAGTGGTTTATTGAGTGATATTAAGTGTGAAAATAGTTTCATTGGATCTTAGTTTTGATAGTCAGAAAGGTTTCATTTATGCTAGATCCTGAAATTTGATTTACCTGTTGACTGTTTCGTCTGTTCACTCTGACAGACTTGGTCACAACTGAATTACCTGTTTAGGTGAAGGTGAACAGGTAATTATCTCAGTCTTGATGATGACTTGAGGAAGGAAAACATCAGAGTGTCGTTCAAACCACACGCAAAACTCAGAAACTTTCTTGAACATCCAAAAGATAAGATAGAAGACAACAAGAAGTGTGGAGTAGTATATCAAATCGGGTGTGGGAGCTGTGACAGAGTCTATGTTGGAGAGATGGGAAGAAAATTAGAAACAAGACTAGAGGAACACAAGAAAGATGTAAAGGAAAATGTAAGTGAGGGAGTTAACACCAGATCCAAACGCTCTATGTCGACAGTTCTACACAAATCTGCCATCACAGATCATATGTCAGATAACAACCATGTGCCAAAATGGGACAATGTAAAGGTGCTAACCGGTGAAAATGACTACAGCAAGCGCATAGTTTTGGAATCGATCTGGATAAGAAGGAAGAAACACACCATGAACCAAGATGAAGGAGCACACAAGCTGTCCCATGTGAATGACGACATTCTCAAACCCACCCTGGGGGGAGGGGGCGAGAGGAACTAACAAGTCATCATCAAGACTGAGATAATTACCTGTTCACCTTCACCTGAACAGGTAATTTAGTTGTGACCAAGTCTGTCAGAGTGAACAGACGAAACAGTCAACAGGTAAATCAAATTTCAGGCATAAATGAAACCTTTCTGACTGATATTGAGTGGTTATGCGCACATGTATTGAAACTAGCAAAATATTACATTTTCATCAAGTGATTAATATTTACTTAGCTGAAATAAATGAATAAAGATTTTTGGCAATTTTATTGATTTAGCCTCTTTTGATGTGTCTAAATTTGATAGGTCTGTGGGTGAAGTTTTTATGGGGTGTACAATGCAGGGACTCATTCTGCACCCCCCCCCCCCCATACCCCAAGGTCACTTCTAAGTCTCCATGAGTCACTATTAAAATATGTCTCCACTGACTTTTTAGAGCCCACAGATCAGAAAACACTCGACAATGTTGGAACGAGGAAAATGCGGCACTGTCAGAGCTCATGGGGCAGTTTACACAGCCAGGGTCACAGAGACAGCTAACACAATGTGGGTTGTCACAACCAACACAATCTGGGACAATGCTGTCACAACTAACACAATGTAGAGAAGCAGTGCAGTCCAACCTGTCCAGAGATCCACCTATTCAACATATTGAAGAACCAGAGTCTGATGCTACCAACACCAATCCTAAAAATGGTAAACATTAGATATTATGGAATGTTGTTTGCAAAGAATTACCTTGTAAATATGAATTCTACCAGAATTTGTTATTGATCCAAGCTTTTTTAAATATTTGAGCCCTTGAACCACACATCCAAGTTCTACCTCATGTCTGCTGGGTGATGAAGATTTAATTAATAGTATGTTAAGTCTTTTGCTTTATAATAAAATGAGAATGGCATTTTGGTTTTCTTTTTCATCTCCTTGGCCATTAAGGCCTGGGCAGAAAGCCAGACAGCCATATTGACCACACATTGACCTCTGACCTTGGAGTGACCCTTGACCCTGAAGTGACCTTGGGAGCTGGGGATGGTCAACCTAGTCGAGAGCTTCCTGTACAACTGACCAGTGTCTTCAACATTCACTACTACCTGGCTGCAGAGCAAGTTTTCCAGTGCCTTGAAACAATGCAGAAAAATTTATCCTCAAACCTAATGGCTGTCCCACTTGACTCTGAGATTGTCCTGCTAGGTTCTGAAGAGATCTGCGATGTCCCACTGGACATAGGAGATATCCCAGTTCATACAGGGAATGTCCCACAAGGCTCAAGCAATGTGCAATTTGGTTCAGAATATGTTCCAATCGTTCAAAAAGAAGGTCGATTGCAATCCAAGTTTGTGACCTCTGACCTTGGAATGACCGTTGACCCTGGAGTGACCTTGGAAGCTGGAGATGGGCATCTTAGTCAAGAGCTTCCTGTACAACTGACCAGTGACTTCAAAACTGACTATTATCTAGCCGCTGAGCCAGTTTTCCAAAACCTTAAAACAGTGAAGAAAAATTTATCATCAAACCTAGTGGCTGTCCATCCAGACTCTGAGTTTGTCCTACTAGGTTCTGAACATGTCCCGGATATCCCTTTAGACATTGGGGATGTCCCACAAGGCTCGAGCAATGTGCAATCTGGTTCAGAAAATGTGCCCATGGTTCAAGAAGAAAGTCGATTGCAATCCGAGGATGTCCTGCCTCCTCCAAGCTCTGCTGAACATGACACATCAGTACATATGAGTGTGTCAACTCCAGACCTTCCAGTAAAACTGAACAGTGTATTCAGCATGGAAGGGTTTATCATCAGTGAGGCGGGGCAGGCATGTTTAGACAGGTTGAAAGGTGAATGTGCAACACACATGACAGGTTCTGAATTGTATATATATTCTGAATTATTTTAGTTCAGTGCAACATTTCCTAGTGATAAAAGTAATATTTTTATGTACAGACACAGATGTGTCTGTACATATTGCCATCACCTGCGTCTGTTGTCGCCGATGCCGATGGTGATGCCGATGCCGATGCCGATGNTTTATGATACAGATATGTTACATAGTCAGTGTAACCAGTAATGAGATTTTTCCGACTATCAGCCTAGTTTTGACTTTTTGTAAGCCAAGAACGTCAAATTTGTGATGAATGCACAGGGCCCCATGCCATATTTTCAGATTTTTTCAATAAATTGCAGTGTCATCTCCCTCCAACATTTTCAGTCAGCACTCTGAATATCATATAAAGTATTACTTTGTTACAAAAGAGCCAATAGTACCAGTGACACACATTTTAGTAGTAGCCAGTTAGTTTGATTGTTGAACATGGGTATCTTCTCATTTCCAGAATGGCAGCGTGGTTCCCGTCCTCGTACCTTGCATTCTCACCACACTGCGTCTGACAGCTCCCAGCTGAGAGGAGTACAGAGTGTGGAGATAGAGGGCCCTGTGAATGAGCCTCCTTCTGCGACAGAGGACGGAGAGAGACTGAAGGCGCAGTCTGATCAGGAAGAAGGTCGGGATGTCGGGGATGGTGTTTGCAGAAAGAGAAAAGCAGGTTTTCGAGATGAGAATCCTGATGGAGATGATACTGGAGGGAACAAGTTGAAGAAGAAGGGAAGAATGACCTCTGGGCCTGAATTAGAAGAAAAGCTGTCAACAGATGGCGCTGATGTTGCCATTGTGTCCAATCAGCATGAAGCTCTTAAGAAAAAATGTTTAGATGATGATGAAAGAGAAATGAATTTTAACCAGGCATCTCATGGAGCAGACAGGCGAGAACAATCACCAGAAGTAAGCACATTTTATTGTCATGATGTTTACTGTCATAAAATAATTCTTTATCTGTACATACAAAAAGAAATAAAGGCATATCTTTCTTGATTCAAACTACGAATTCTAAACAGTGAATTTTCTTATCTCAAACTATGAACTGTGTTAAGGAAATCCTTTTTAATGAAATCCACATGGTATAACTTCAGTCTCATTCTTTTATCTAAGGGACCATGCCCAGACCCTGTCATAGTAAATGTAGATCGATCTATATCCGAGGGGATTCTCGCTAAATTGCTATCAACTTAAGCGGTTTAGATGTCTGCCACGTCTACTGAAGCTGCTAGTGGGTAATAAATTATTGTTTAGCAGCTTTAGTAGGCATGACAGACATGTAAGCAGCTTAAGCCAGAAACCCCTGTTAGATCAGTCTTGGTATGGGAACCCAGCCTAAGTCATCTAAAGCATAGTTAAGCACAATGAGCATTGGCAGTAGTTTAAAAGAATCTGAAGCAGTTCTGTTGATTTCTCATGATCTGTTACTAGTAAGGGGATAACAACTGTTTTCATTTTGGCAAAAAAAAAAAAAGGATTTTCCTGGGGTAAAGAACAATTTTCCCTTCTTAACAGTGGTTAATGAATTCATTCTGACATTCAAAGTTAGTCCCTGTTTTTTTCTAAAAAGTCTAGTTTTTGATAATATTCTCTTAAGAGATTATTACAGAACGTAGCCATTCTGTGGAGGTAACATGATTTGATGGCAAGCACATATTCCAGAACAACTGCACTAACCACCATATTGGTAGTAAAATAGAATTCTATTACATTTCTATGAGTTGTTTACAATGTATTTATTGTGAAATATGGATATCATATGAACAGTTGTTATCCTTTTAAAATTCAGTTTGTATGATCGGTCATTGTTACTGTAAGGGTTAGAGTCTGATTTAAGTTTTTATACCTTTAACTATGTTACAGGCTATGCTGGGGACTGATGTGGGGGAATACATGGACAAAGTGGTCTTTTCTTTTGAGGGACATCCTTCACAAGACCCAAGTCCTCAAGATGTAGGTCAAGGTCAGGTTGAGAAAGGTCAAGGTCAGGGTGAAGTAGGTCAAGGTCAGTGTGAAGTGGGTCAAGGTCAAGAGATGAGGGACCAGGTTATGGATGAGAAGGGACTTCACGATGAGACTGTGGTTCATCAGTCAACACTGATATATGGACACACAGGTATCTCTGGGGTTTATTGACACATTCCAAACTGTGGACCAGTATTTTGTCTTTAGTATTTTATTATTTTTTTATATGGATTAAGACGAAATTTAGGTTCAGGGTTCAAAGATGGTAGACCTATCAGTGCAGCACTGAAAAAAAAGCAGAATTTATCATCAGACAATATGTCTGGACATTTCTTTTGAATTCTGTCCGAAAACTGTTTGTTGCACGACAGTACCAAATCACCAATTTTCATGTCACATTTGTTTCTTAAGATGATATTCTCAGACCACAGAGTTTCAGTGCAGATGGCCCAGTCTATGTTATTTGGGATAAACTCTGCCGTCATTTTTCTGTAGAATGTATGATTTAATGTGAATGTGACTATAAATTTCTAATACAATTTTGAGCTCAACAGAAAATTGTTTATTAATGAGTAATATTGATTCTTGTATCGTAACTGCTTTCCTCTTTCCTTCACAAATTGTATTCTCCTTAATTTTAGATGACACAAGACCACGTTTTCTGCCGTCCCCTTTGAGAGTCTCAGATGATGAAGAAGCCAAGAGATTGAATGACATGCTACATTCTGCCGAATACAGCGGAGAACGGCTGTTTTCATCTGATGACAGTGAGGCAGAGATTCAGTCGCACTCACATGATGAAAAATCCGAGTCCCTGGTCAGAGAGAAATATACTGTTATTTGCAGTGGATCAGAAGAAGAAAACCACGGCAATCCTTTGTTGAACAATGATGAGGAGGAAGAAGAGGAGGAAAAAAGATTAGAAAAATTACGAACCCCTGGAGCATTATCTGTTGGACCACAAATGAAAACTTCAGGTGTTTTGGTTGTTGAGGATAACATCAGCAATAGAGCTGAGGCATTATTGACTCAGTGCCATACGGAGACATCCCAGGTTCCAGTAAAACCGTCTCAGACTGAGAGCCAATCCCAGACTAAATCCAGCTGTGACCCATCGCAAGCCAAGCCCAGTGCCATCCCAACACAGGCTGAGGTACAATGTGCCCCCTCTCAGAGACAAGAGAAAGGTGTGGCTGGCACGTTAAAGTATCGAGATCCTAGTGCACTGTACAATACCAAAACAAAACCTGAAAATAAAGGTAAAAAGAAGGGGAGAAAGCTGTTTACTATGGACCCAGTGCCTCTAATGGGGGATGATGATAAACGTGTAGAAATGTCTTCCAGTAAAGATGATCAACCTGACGCACTTCATGAAAGCTTGCTGGGAAGGAAAAAATTTTTGAGTCAAAATAATCAGCTAACTGGTAACAGGAATGTATCTGAAATTCCACCTGCCTCAAGTGGCAGTGACACACATGGCAGTAGAGAGCGGATTGTGAATAGTACAGGCAGTTCCAGTCGTGCAAGTTTGGGTCATGCTACCTGTACTGGTGATTCTGTTGTGGAAAGCAATGACAACAGAGGTAAACATATTATTGATGACACCAACAATTCTGTTGTTTTTGTTGAAAATGCCCACACTACCAGATCCCAAACATTGAAAAGTACAGGCATTTCCAGTTGCACTGATGTGGATAGTGTGCCTAGTCATAGTATGAACAGAGTCATGGATAGCACTAGAACTGTTTCTGGTACTCACTGTGATAATTTCAATACAAATTTTGTGAGGAGACACTTGAGTTGTAAATCCAGCACACCAGTGAAATCTCTGCCAGACCAACAACAGCAAGAAACCCCTGATGATGTTGTGCAAACTTCTGAACAAAGTGAAGATAATGATATCATATTCATAGGAACATATAGTCCAAAGTTTGCAGGAACTTTGCCAAATGAATACCATCATTTGCCCAAAAGTACTTTTGACAGTGTGAAATTAAATGAGCTGAAATCAAAGTCTGACTCAGAGCAAGACCCACTGGTGCAAAGTACCAGTGAAACAAATGACAATGTCACCTCTGCAGTTGTAACAGTTGGAGAATATATCAAAAGAAAGAGAGATGAGCTGCATAGAAAACAAAGATCGGAGCAGCAAAAGATGGACAGCATGCAGGAAGGAGATGAGAGCTCTCTGGAATTTGGACAAAGACTAGTGTCGTCTGCTGAAATGACAGAAACCAGGTCAAATGAATGTCAGACACAGAGGGTACGGGCTAGTTTGGAATAATTGATTTTTTTAAAGCTGAAAATCATTTATTCTAATTTGACTTCCAGGGCTTAAAAATAAGTTTTGTAAAATAAAGTTTTAAAAAGTAATTCTGATAAAAAAAATTTACTAAGACTCCTACTGCGGTTCTAATTATGGCTTAAATGAAGAATAATATTGTCTTGAAAAGGACATATTTAATACATTGTAGTGGCTAATATTAGATTTCTTCATGTTTTAATTTCACTTTTATAGCAAGGTCAGACAACACTCCAAGACAAGCTACTGAACCTGAAGTTCTCAGACAATACCATGACTTTCATCTGGAAAGTATTTCTCAGGAAAAGGCCATCCAACTAAACTATCAGCCAACTTCCTGTGGAAGAATGACCAACTTGTTAATACCCAGACATGCTTTTTTTTTTTTTTTTTTTTTAAAGGGGGGGGGGGATTGAAGGATATATCATCTTCATAAAAATGACCCCAAGCATTTGTTTCTCTTTGGTTTGTTCTTTTCTCATTCCAGTTTCCAAACACTGGTTATTCTGAGGTAGCATTCTTCTTACACAACAGACATTAAAATGTGTGCATGGTTCAGTGTACATGAAACAAACCCTGATATTGAGTCAGTGTCTTAGGGCTTTGACATCATATATAGTTACTTTGTAAGTTTTTTTAATGCAGATTCCGCAAGGACAAGCTGTTCATAACCTGTTGTAGTTCTAGAATACTGTTGTTGTTATTGTTGAAAGTTCCATTTGATGAAAAGTTTGGTGCTATAGTAATTATATGTGCCATAATGTGTTGTTCTAGTTTTCTCTATTGGCACTTTGTTCAAGAGTTTTGTGTTTGTATTCTAGTTATCTATTATTGTTATTTACAAGATTTTACACACTGAAATAAATGAGGACATTGTTTAAATGCACACCTTGTTACTGGCATAAAAACATTTAATGAAAAGTATTCAGAGTTTACTGTAATCATATAAAAATAATTTTTTTTATCAAAAAATATTTTTAGCAACTGTTACAGTATGATGAGATCTGACACAAAATGCCGCTTATAATACTTTGGTTATTTTCTTTTGTATAAAAATATCAATCTGACAATGAGAGACTTGCACATGTGTACTCTGTTCAGCTTCTGACACGCAAACTTGTTTGAAGTAGATGCATTGTATTTCAAAGTCCTTCTCAAAAGTAGGAAAAAGCACATGTTTATTGTTGTATTAAACATTTTTTTTTTTTTTTTTTTTTTGCAAAAATTTGTAAGAATACTGTTGTAACACAGTTACAAACACTTTTATAAAGCAACTGAAAAAGAGACGCAATAAAGTTCAACTAAAGAGAAAGGCAGTCTAGGACTAGCTGGTTGGAGCTAGTAGTGAAAAAACTGCAAAATTTTATGTTTAAAAAAATACTGGACAAAACTACATGTGAGTATGTAATTTTAAACCAAAAATGAGTTCATAAGTGTAATTATACTGATAGGGGGTAATTAACTATCGTTTAGCAGCTTAAGCAGGCGTGCCAAACATCTAAGTCTCTCAAGCTGAAAGCAATTTAGCAAGAAACCCCTCAGAGATGGAACAATCTTGTTAGATTGATCTTGGGATGGGAACCCAGTCTAGTCCTTCCCTCAGAACATACATACAGAGAATCGCAATCAAACTTACAAAAGTCTTGTGTAATTTTACAATTTCTTAAAAAATTTAATGTGATTGATGCAGTATATCTACACTAAAAATAAATAGCTTGCTTCCAAGTTCAAGTTGTGATCAGATATACCAGAAATAGAGAAAATTTCTGTGACAGTCCTAACTGGTGGTTGAAAGTTTTTGTGACCCCTCACTTTTTCTGCCATCAAGTTTTCTCTCTTTCCGATAAAAGTTGTGTTTCTCTGCGAAAAAAATGTGCCAACTGCTTCACTAGTGTATAAATCTATTTTTTTTCTCCAAGACAAGTCTTTTACTGAACCAAAGAAAGCCTTTTTAGACAACATATCCCCTTTCTGCTGCAAACGTCACTGCACAATTTTGTGTGGACCACATTGCATTAACAGTGTAACTTTACTTGTTTGTTTTTTTCTGCACTCTATTTTTTTTTTTTATTCCTTAACATTCCCTTCCAAGCTTTTAAATCAGAACTCTGCAGGTGGTTTCTTAGTTCTGCTATCCGAAGTCAGTTTTTCTCTCAACCTCCTCACTTCCTGCATAAGCATGGCTTCTCCCTCATCTAAACTTGTGCGGCCTGTTCTGTCAAATGACACTGGAAAATGGGGAAATCACATGTAAGGAAAAGTACTAATTTCAAGCAATGGAAATTAAGTCGGTACAGCAATATTATTGATACAATCAAAATCTGTGTCTACAAGATCCACTCTCACCTTAATTGTATGTATGGAAATATTTCTCCAATTTTGTGCTTCTGAACTTCAAGCTGCACAAATGTACACACATTTTTTTTTACCCCCAAAGCTAACAAGATCCTCAGTATATGATATTTTTTTCAGAAAATGAATTCAAATAAATTTGAAGTAAATATTTATTTATCCCTGTTAAAATTATATATCTAATAGTATCAGTAATGCATATAAAGATGAGGCTGGTAAGTTTGTTTGGGGATACAAGTCCTACTTGAACATTATTTCTTCAGGGATACACTCTTTCTTTTTGAAAAATTTATGGAAGCAGCTAGATTTTTCAACATAGTGTAACAGAATAAAATCCAGCCAAGAATTTCACCAGCTGTGTTATCTGTTACTTACATGTAGTGGTACCATCAGTTCCTGTAGAAACCTCATTCAGACAAGACTGGTCTCTGTTATCTGTCGCTCTCTGTCTAAGGTCTCGCAGACGCTCTGAAGTGAAAAAGAGGTTAAACTTCAACACCTTGACAAAATAAAAGGACCCTGCATTTCTTTCACCTAAAAGATAGCGATGTGGCAATTTACAATACTCTGAATTTGCAAAAGGAAATAACCAAAACCTGATTAAAACCCTTTTCCTACCTGAAGGACTGGTCCAGAAAAATGTATTATAAAGACGGAAGAAATAACCAGAGTAGATTAAACTTATACAAAAATCCAAACCCATGCCAACGGACTGGTCCAGCAAAATGTAACAGAAAGACAAGATAAATACCCAAAGTCTGATATTATACAAATCCTGTCTCATACCAAAGGACTGGTCTACCAATATGTAATAGTAAAACAAGAGAAATAACCAAAATCCTATCCCCTACCAAAGGACTGGTCCAGCGTGTTCCCCAGCTGTCCCAGGTGGTCCTCAGCCAGACCAGATTCCTCCCTGAGGAGACGTGTCCTCCTCTCCGCTGCTACGTCCGCCTGGCGCCTCTGGGCCTGGAGCTCCTCCAGGGTCTCTATGGCCTCTCCTTCCTAGTAATGTTAAAGCATATGTATATACATATAAGTTTATCAATATATATCTATGGCTTCTACGTCTTGGTAATGTAAGCAAATGATAGAATTTAGTATCAGAATTTTTAGGAACTGTTGGAGGCTTAAGTTCTTTTATAGTGTACATACTCCAATGTTTTAATGACCTAACAGCATATCCCACTATAAACAAAGTATGATATTTCAAATCTGAGATCTTGCAAAAGAAAAAAAATGAGTGGGTGGAGCTTTAAAAAGAGAAGAACAAATACTGTACAATAACAAGTGACTGGTGTGCATTTAATGGTAAGAGGGGAGATGTGTCATGTGTCTTCTCCAGAACCAGTTATGCTTCTTGTAAGTAGGGAGCACAGGAAAAACCAGGTACAGTTCACTATAGAAAAGTACAAGCTATTAATCGAGCTTTTATGTCAATATGAGGGTGACTTTAACAAGGCAAAATGACAAAGGCTCACAAACTCATACAAACCCTTCTTGTTTTCAGCTCATTCATCAGTTTGTGGACTTCTTTCTCCAGGTCACGGTTTTCATTTTGTAGTTTTGCAAGCTAGTGAGATTAAAAAATAATAATAATGTTTCTTGAACAAATATAATTTAAGTGATATGTTTGAAACTTGTGAGTAATGATCTAATTATCTACATATTCTTCAGATTTCTGGTTTTACTCTCCAACTCCTTTATTCATGTCTTATCTTATGCAAGAATATCGGATTATGCACTCTCACACACATAATGAAAGAGAGAGGGGGTTGGGGGGGGGGGGGGAGAAAGAGAAATCCAAAATCCTATACATTTCCCAGTGTTCTTCAACCACAATGCTTATTCAATTCTTTTCCAAACATACCACTCACACGTGCATGCACGCACATGCTCTACTACCTGCACATTCTGCATCTCCCTGTCGAGGTTGTCCAGTTCTTGTCTGTATTCCATCTGTTTTCTTGTCTCAGCATCTGTAGTCACATGCTCGGCATGGGCCAGATTCTGCTGCAGCCTCTACAGAGAGACAACATAATATTTTATATATATATCATGAATATATAAAGCATTATGATGCCAAATAAGATTAAAATGTCTATTTATTCAATCTAAAGTTAATGTCTTGCATGCTACATCACATCTAAAGCATTTGCCTCATGCCCCTTATCTTTTACCCAGACCAAGTGATATATTAGTTCTCAGGCACTGTCAGTATCTAATTTAACAAGGCATCACCAGCTATGAAGACCTCAGAGGATATGTAGGGTGCTTTGCACAAGTTATGATACTGAAGTTAACATTATAATTATTTATTTTCTAAATAAATGATTTCTACAAATTATCTAGGCTTGCTCTCAAGAGACAAAAAAAAGAGACAATTATGTGAGCTGAATTCCAGAAAAAGTCAAATGTTTAGCAAAATTCCTCAACATCCACCCCTGAAATTTGCTGTGCATGAAATTTAAGAACAATATATCCATCCTTTAAAAAGATAAAAATTTAACGATTTGATAAACAGACCTATGTACACAAAAATCACAAAAATAACAATAATATATAGAACTTCCCTGATATCATAACCTAGACCCATCGATCTCAACTGACACATCAGTACTGTGGAGAATTTTTAACAGCAATAAAGTTGATCAATTTCACAGTTAACATAGTGACAAAAAAGTATTGATCTTTACATTGGATGTAATGTCAACAGAAGAGAATGAAGAATTTGGTCGTGTTTTCAATACACTGCTCACTGTGTGCACACACACACACATATGCAAGCAAACACACCCACAGACACGCAAGCATGCACATACGCAGGCACACACACATACTACATATTCATAATCCATAATATAGATTTTCTGTCTATTATGAAAAATTATATTTGCTCTGTCAATAAACAAATTATTTATAATATGCTGCATTAAATATGGCAAAATAGATGGACATTAGAGAAAATATTGCAAGTATCTTTTTACTACAGATAACAGCTTTTATTGTTTTGAATAATATTTCTTCTTACATTACACCTACAAATGGAAACACCTGGTTTATAACAAGTTAAGATGTTGATAGGAATATTCTGTTCACTGACAAATGTATTTTGCAATAAAGGCTGTTAAAGTGCTTTATAGCAGAAATATTTTCAAAAATTTAGAGAAAGGTTATATACTCTTTTTCTTGTTATTATTATCATTAATTTTATGTTTCCAAAAAAGATGAAAATCAATCCTCTTCTCCTGAGTTTCTTGATATTAAAAATAGCATATGACACCCAGGAACTTTCTACACTCCCACAAATAAAAAGGAAATCCGCCAAATGTTACCACTGGAGAAATACAAGGAAGTCTTGTATACACTTCCACAGGATGTAAAACATTACATTTGTTCCCAGAAATTGTACAGTGTATTTTACAATAGGCCTGCAAACCTAAGTTACTAAATAAACAATATGAAAGTGCTCTAGCATGCACAATTTTCACTTTTCCTACCAATGAATAAAAGTTAGATAACCTATTTTGTTTTCATAACATCCAAGGTAAAAGAATTCACCAGGTGTCTTAATACCCATAAACAAGTGCTCTTCAATACCAAGTCCCATATCTTAACATTTTATCCCAGTGCAAATGAGCAGTAATTGTGTACAATATTGATCCGCCATAAAAGGCCACAATTATTAATTCATTCATTGGTTGCAGCCAGGAGTTTATGAAATACATCCTCCTAACACGAACAATAACTGGTTTAACAATAGAAACAATAATAATAATTGATTGATAGCTGTCTAGATACAACAAGTACAAATATTGGCTTTATGTACAGCAAAAAGGCCTCCAAACATGAATGTTTCTGGTTGCCATTTCAGTCAATTGTTCACCCATGCATTTCTGTATTTGTCTACAATAAGTGGTTAGATATGCCAGGGCCCTGGCCACTGAACATGTATATCACAATACCCACATTCAGTTACAGTCATATACAGAGGCAGATCCACTGATTTTTTCTGACAGTCTTCCAAATTATCTTTTTTGATCAATCCTTTATTTTTGACCGTCTTCCAACAGAAAAAAATTAGATACCCGTCAATGTAAACTTGAATATCTGACCGTCTTCCAGAAGACCCGGTAGACGACCCAATTCCGCCCCTGATATACCAATCAATCCTTGGCCACTGAACATGTATATCACAATACACCACATTCAGTATCAGTCATTTACCAATCAATTAGCTTTCCATTATACTGCTACCTGGGCCCCTTGTGTCACCAAGTGAGCCCTGAACGCAGATCTCTAAGGTAACTTCGCATCACCCTATTTACACCTAGCTGGATACTTACACCATTCCTGCCTTAACGAACATGTGCCATGAACGTGACAGGTACAGCTAACAAGCCTAACAAGAACTGAGGATGACAAGATGAAAATTCTGTGTTCAGATGTCCTGTGACAAACGCCACCTTGTCTGAAGAAACCAAAATGTGACATGTTTCTAAGGAAAGAGTGACAGGAATTAGAGCTCAATCTAGAATCAAAACAAGAGTCATGGCAGGACAAGACTGAGAAAGGACTTAACAACAACTTGTGCAGTGCTCATAGACAAGGTATCTAACAATAAATAATTATGACAGGTGTAACATTCATAAATTGACTAGTGCAGAGACAAATGACTCCCTGATATATTTGTTGCCAACCATGCAGACATTTCCTTCTCAAGGTTTCAAAAGCAGAAAAGTGTCATTGTATTCCTTGTATTCTAGTACCATGGACAGGGAGACCCAGCTCTTATATCTATACTGACAGTCAATGAAAACGCAGCAGAAAACTTTCTTGAACTTTTTCACCAAGAATCGATTCCAACCATTTTAATCTTTTCTGACCTTTATTTCACCTTGTGTGTCTGAATAATGGGTCATATTTCACACGTAAACTGTTATTTCTTAATGTGCCAAAGGAACTAAAAATATTATTTGATAAATAAATGATATGCGTTTTCATTGCCTGTCAGTATATTATATATAATTCTCCCACAAACATGACTCATGTAATTGTTCCCTATATTTCAGTACCTTGGACATAGAAAGACACCAGCTCCTGTATTTATTATATATATTTCTCCCACAAACATGGCTAATGCAGTTGTCCTATGTCTTTCAGTACCATGGACGTAGAGAACCAGCTCCTGTATATCTATTATATAATATTTCTCCCACAAACACACCTAATATACTTAGTACCCTATATTCCTATATTCCAGTACCATGGACGTCGAAAATCAGCTCCTGTATATATCATATATATATATATACCTATATCTCTCATAAACACAACTAATATAGCTGTTCCATATATTCCAGTACCATGGATGTGGAGAACCAGCTCCTAAGCTGTCAGGTGTGTTTTGAGCAATATGACCATGAGGAACACCAGCCCAAACTCTTGCCCTGCCACCACACTTTCTGTATGAAGTGTATTGATGGACTGAAGACTTCCAAAGGGAAGGCAAAGTGCCCAACATGTCGACAAGAGGTCGGCTTACCTCCAGGTAAATAAATAGGGTGTGTGTTCCTCTGTGGCTGGGTTTGTGTGAAGTCCAATGATGTATTTACTCTTCACAACCAGGTGTTTGTCTGAACCAGACTAAAGTCCCTCAAAATCGGGGAAATTCCCATGATTGTCACCCCTGTCTAATTAACACTGCATATTTAATTGGTGTCCTATCTCTTTCTTCTAAAACTAAAATCCCACTTAATAAAAAATATGTTTTAAAAATCCATCAAGCTTCAACAATATGCCTAGATATATTTGCAGAAAAATAAAAACGAAAAAAAAAAAAAAAATAATTGCAATACACATTTTAAAAAAGTTCCTTCTATCTGAAATAGGATGTATTCCGAATACTTTTATTTTTTGAGTTTCCAATCTCCCCTAAGGACCAATAATTACACTGTAAATTGAGTCAGTGAGCTTGCTAGTTTGTTTTCATATCAATCACACAGTCTGACTGCTTTTACCAATTACTTAAGACTGGTTATCAATCAACATTGATTAGCTATCTTAATATCACAAGGTGGAACACATGTATCAAAGTAATTATCTAAATTACGAAAATGAGATGGCATCATATGTAAGTTTCCAGTGAATTATCAACTCTGAACTAGCTATGTAGTCGGCTGGACCTCTCCCCCACTAACAGTGCACAATGGGAATCAAAGCAGGAAGAATGGATTAGTCTACTTGCTCAATTTCCTTGTCACTGAAGAATTATTGTGTTCTGTGATCAAGTTAAGATGGACCATTGATATATACTAATTCATCACATTTATTACACACACAGGTGGAGCCACCCATCTCCAGACTAACTTCTATATCATGGAAATGGAGGAACTACTGATGGGAATGACCAAGCGACAAAAAGATCAAGATGGCTGCCAAACCCATGCCAACCAACCGCTGTCCTTCTTCTGCTCCAAGTGCGAGACTGCCATCTGTCGCGACTGCACCATTCTCAGTCATCGTGAGAGCGAGGGTCACGTTATCACTGAAGTGGCAGTGATGAAGGGGAACTTCACTAAAAAACTACAGGAAAGGTTGACCAAATTACGCCAACTCATGCAGTCAGAAGAAGACATCTTGTCGGCGTTACAGGTGCAGCTCAGTTCCCTCAACGGCCTGCAGAAGATGACGGAGGCCGACATCGACACCTCCCTGGACAAGTGCTGCCTGGCTATTGAAGAACGCCGGCAAAAGATGAAGGAAAATTTGAGAACCCAACACGGCCATATTGCAGCAAAGCTCAAGGACATGATCATCGAGACAGAGATGCACTACAATCAACTTACCTCCACTTCAGAGCAAATCAGCCATACTATCAAGAAAGGCAAGCTTCAAGACCTGATAGACACCGCCAAGCAGGAAGATGCAAACAACATAGAGGGTGAAGACGCCACTAACTGCAGCTCCAAGGAAGTCACTATAGAATACCCACAATTCTCTGTTAAGGACTTCGATGCCTT